CACAGTGACGTAATATTAATAAACACTTATTTTGTTAACATAAATAATTACGTTAATAATAACCTTAGCCAATTAAATAAAGCTGATTAAAGAAAGCTTACTAATCGTCAGATACGTTAAACTGGTGATCAGATTATCAAAAGAGCACAGCCCATCCATTTCAAAGCAACTCCAGCGCCGTCTCAACCCTCACTTTTTTACATTTGAGATGAACAGCCTCAGTCATGCAAAACAAGAAGCTCGATGAAGTTCATTTTAATTCCACAATTAAAACTTTAAGGGCGCACAGAACCCCAAGCTCCTCGTGGAGCGAGTGGTGAGCATGTGGAACCTGCGGCTGTGGAGTCCCCACCGACACGTCAGTGTTATTATACCCGTGAGCATGGTAAACTCACACAGATTACTCCAGTAAATTCTCCGTTACGTAAACGTGTGATAAAATGGATGCATATCTTAATTTATTCAGTGCGTTATAATCAAACTTTTTTTCTGCGCTGTATACATACAGTATTGTAACGCCCGTTGCGTTACAGTATAAATAATAAACACCTACCAATAATGACTATTTTAAGAGAATGACAGCTTCAAAAGGGCTGATCTGTTTAAAATGTCTTACCTGGGGAAACGCTCAAAAGCACCTTCCACCCTATGTTTATGTTTACAGTCTCCTGGTTAAGCCTATATGAAAGAAAATATTTGCAAATATGTATTTTTTAAAAGCCTGGTGAGTGTCTTTAGATCTTCGAGTTGTTTGCTACTCAATCTCGGCCTCGCCGGAGTTTGCTTCTGCGTTTCCATGACAACACGCAATCAAAGCCTTTTCTGAATCTGGTTGGTATTTGAAGTGCCAGTCTAGACAGCAGCCAATGAAAGCGACCATCCCAAAAAATCTCCCGAAGTATAGCCTATGGTTTAGTCGAAGGTGTTATCGCCTTTATTCTTTCATATATAAAGACACAGGCAAATGTTTTGAAGCGGTCCGAAATGTACTGTTAGAGTAAAAGGCACTTTAAACTCTTAAAAAATGATTCACTGTTGTAAAGAAATCTCTTACTACTCCAGAACCCTAACGTGAAGGCCAAGGAGGTGCCACTTGTTACTGATCTGGCATTTCTATGCCAATATTGTAAAAATACTGGAAGCCTGTATTATTGTTTCTTTATTTAAAAAGACGTGGAGCGAAGACGGACATTCCTTGTTGTCCTGTCAGGGAAATTGTGTAGTAGCTTTATTGAAAAACCTTAGTCTGTCAGTATGTCGACAAAGAGACGAGACTGCAAACGTATTTGTAAGGCGATATGGTCATTGTAGTCATTCTGTACCATCACGGTAATTGTTGTATCCAAAATTAAGTATCACATTTATCACACTGAAAATGAAATATAGTATTTTTTCAAAATAATTAAACATAACTATTTTATAAATCGTATTGTTACAAATAGGTTTTTTTTAAGTTTTGTTCAAGCAGACATCGTTAATATTTTAACATGCTTAAAACTCCAAATCCCAGAAGCACTCTCTGTCCATGTCCGGGGAGGTCTGTGTGACGCTTTTCAATGTTTTGGAAAAAACTCGTGGTGTGCATGTTTTGCTCTAAATTTCTTTTATTCTTTTATAGATTTAAGAAGCAGACATGATTGTTTCATATTTTGTATCCCAGAAATTGTTCCGTGGACTGTACCAGGAGATTGCGCGATGGAAAGCTCTCACAAACTATAAAACAAATATTTTTTCGAACGCGTTTTTCTTGTACGCGTTCAGAGGACTGTCAACAACAACTTGTTTTCATAGTCCCGCCCGTGAGTTGAACAAGCCTCTGAAACAGTGGACTCTGATAGTCAACCCCTTCAGTACTGTGAGAGTCCAGTTGCCCTGCAATGTGTCTGTACGACCCCTGGACCTCCACGCTTTCCCGGAGGCAGACAGGGCTTTCATAACTGTTCATGGCACCAGCGCAGATCAAGGACTAAAACTAGACAACTTTCATGTCAAGTACTACGAACAGAAAAGGGAATTGTTGATTTTGTCAGAAAAGGTCAATAGTAACGTGTCTGTGGAAGTGACTGCTCCAATTAAAAGTGGTGAGTATGTATATAAATACGCTTTAATAAAAAGGATAACAAATGAAGGACTTCCGTTTAATAGATGGTTTCGAGACAGGTTGCAAATGAGAGGAAACGACTGGGTCCATCTTTCTCGACAATTGCTCTATAGCAGGGCTGTCCAGCAGTTGTTATAGATCTCCTTAGTCTCCGGTTTCCCAAAAACAAGGAATGGATTCAGCCTGTCCTATTAAGAAAATAATGAGGTCAGTAATTAAGGGCTTGAAAATCAGAAACCTCTTCAGGACTGGTTTTGTGCACTTCAGATCTGAAATTTCCTCGTTCCGTATTCTCCTTTTGTGAAGTAGCATAATTATTCAGTCCGTGGTTATGGTGTCCTTTAAGATTACATAACATATCCAAGCTAAGAGGCTATGGATAATGCCCCTCATTTCCTTCTGTATGAATAGTGAAGTGCTGTTAATTTCTTAGTTTTAAGCTGCCCCAGCCCTAAAACCTCAGTGTCAGTTCTGCTAAAATCACTCAATGCTAGTGGCACTCCTTATAGCATTGACAGGTTACAGATGTATTCTTATTATATCCACTTTTGCTCTTTATCTGTTATTTTGTAAAATATTTACTTCCACCTTAATCGTTTTTACTGTTGTATTGCAGAACAATTATTGTCTGTTCCTTTCGGCCTGTCTTGGCAAACAGGGAGGTCTTTTTTCGTGGTGCTTGCTGTTCTGTATGCTCTTTCTATCTTTGAATTTTCAGAATCAGTAGGGAGAATTCTCCATTAAATCATTAAGTCCAAGTTTTTCTAGACTTGAGCTAACTTGTTTTGGGGATTCATTTCTTTCTAACCTTATCGTGTTTCAACTAAGGCGATTCTTCTTCCGTTGATACATTTTTAGCTACAGTAGTTCATCACTCGTTGATCAGAGTCTCTCAGTAGTCCTATCACATCTGTTCCCTTCATTAATGTCCATTCGTTTTAATAATAATTCATAATAATAATTCCTTACGCTTATATAGCACTTTTCTGAACTCAAAGCGCTTTACAGGTAATGGGGACTGGCCTACACCACCACCAATGTGCAGCATCCACCTGGATGATGCGACAGCAGCCATAGTGAGCCAGAACCACACATCAGCTATCAGTGGGGAGAACAGAGTGATGAAGCCAATTCATATAGGGGGATTATTAGGTGGCCATGATTGGTAAGGGCCAATGGGAAATTTGGCCAGGATGCCTGGGTAACCCCCCTCCTGTTTTCGAGAAACACCCTGGGATTTTCTATGACCACAGAGAGTCAGGACCTCGGTTTTACATCTCAGCCGAAGGATGACATCTTTTTACAGTACAGTCACTACACTGGAGCATTAGGACCCACATAGACTGCAAGGTAAGCGCCCCCTGCTGACCCCACTAACACTTCTTCCAGCTGCAACTTTAGAATTCTCAGGACGTCTCCCATCCAGGTACTGACCAGGCTCACACCTGCCTAGCTTCAGTGGCCTGCCAGTTTTAAATTGTGAACTGGTAGCTACTTGCAGCAGCTCTGATGGGCAGTGGACCTATTTACTCACATCATTTGGTAAAACATTACAGTAAAACATTGTCTTCCCATTTTACCTGGAGGATATTGTGAAAGCAGTTCCCTACAAATACAGATTTGTACTGTATATAGTTAAATAGCTTTTTTTACTCCAAAAGCCAGTTATATATTAACCTGGCAGTTTGCTGATTGCAGGGCAGCAGTGTTCTTTTTGAAACCTGGCAATGACAAATTTTGTAGCACTTTGTTTTGAAGGAATTTAGAGTCAGGCCCAAGCCTGTGCATAGCATGGATACCATCTTACCCCGTTCCCTATCATGTACAGTACTTTCGACAAGACTTAGCAGATCAACAATCTGAAAGGCAATAATTAGGGGGATAAGGTTAAGCAGTTATACGTTTTATAGTAATATATAAAGAAACAAAACAATTAAAACCTGTCAGGGAATTATAAAATTGTTGTCTGAACTGCCCACAAGATTAAAGGAGTTGCTGGGCAGCAGTGCCAACACAACATTGCCTTCAGAGATCCCAGACTGATTCATTGAATATAAAGGCCAGGACATTTCCTGCTGATTTGTCGGCTGTTAGCTGTGTGTTAGAGGTGTCCAGGCTCAAGAATGGTTTGCAGATCTCTTTACACCCCACAGTCTGACACCTACGGAAACCACAAGCATTAACAGTGAATTGCTGCTTACTTTTATGGGCTCATTTTAATGCAAACATTGCTCACCTTCAAAAATAAAAGCAATGTTTTCCAAAATAAAACTAACCGTTCATTTTTCACCTTCAATATTTGCCCTCCTGTCACCCATTGCACACACTGCAGATAGTATACAGAGGGAGGTCAGGAAAGGTGGAATCTGATCCTCTAGCTGGGGGCAGGTGATATGAAGTATAGCACTGCTGCAGTTAAAAATAGGTTTTAATTCAGAACTGCAATCAGGTTAGTGAATTCCAAATTCGAAGGAGGTGATAGAAGGTAGCTAGAGATGATTTCAGCACTTGGAGGCAAGGGTATGGAGGAAAGACGCAATCACACCCAACACAGAGGACAGGGGGGTGGTTGGCCAGCGATAGGTATACAGTATAGACAGTGAAGAGTCTGGAGAGCAAGAGCTGCAGGTTCTGAGGTAAAGAGGTGAAATTAGCATGAGCAGGAGAGGTCTGGATAGGGCTGCTATTGCAAGGAAACCAGCTTAGAGATTCAGGAGTCCAGTTTGGAAAGCACAGGGCCTTGACTGACATTGCAGTAGAGCAGGTTTTACTGACTCATTACTTACTGTAGCTCTTAGTCCAAAAGAAAGAATTGCTCTTTCTGAAGACGCATGTCTAGTAGTTTGTGAGGTTGTATGTAGTTTAATCTTTAAAAATTACGTTGATTGAAAGTTTAAGTACATAAAGTGTTATGGGAGTCCTTTGAAAGCTACCCAGGCACATTTTTTGGTATCCTGGATCTTTTCAAGGAATTATTAAATCCTAACAAACGAGCTACAGTAACTGGACCATATGGCTACTTCTTATTAGTAACTCATTCTTTCTCCACGGCCAAAATGGTGTGTTTTCTTTCTTCTCTTTTCAGCATGGAATAAACCTATTACTTGTATTTTAATTATAGTTTTACGACTAAATGGTGCTCACTTTTTCCATTGTCCTCTGTGGCTGCACTTTGTTTTTTGGATGAATGGTATTCTTGATACTGTGTTGAACTAAAACAGAAATGAATTATTGAATATGTACATGAAATCGGTAAATGCTGCGGCATTTCTCAGGCAGAACAAACAAAGGAAAAAACATTCAGAAATGTCTCGCTCAATCTCTTATAAACATTCTGTAAATATGCTCCTTTCTGTAATGTGAGGAGGTGGAGTGTTCAGGCAGAGACTGCAGTGTCCAGGGAACCGTGTGCTAACAGCAGAGGGCAAATCCTGCGGTACTGCAAAATCACAAATCTGTGTTTCTCTCCAAGGGATTAAGCTTCACATGGATCCGCAACATACTGTAGCAACAATGAAAACTGTGTTATCAATTCCGTTGTTCTGCTCATTGATTTTTTTTGTGAAATCAATTTGATGGCTTTATTTCATGACGTGTGCATTTTCTGTTTCTACTCAGATCTGCATATTACAACATTTGGAGCAGGAAATGTGAAGATTCAGAAGATGGAGTGTGACAACTGCAGAGTATTAACAGAGCGGGGAAAGAGCCTCCTGCAGTCAATTAAGGTAATGCAGCGCAAAAGCCTGTGTCAGCAGAACAACTGCTGTTTTGCTGGAAAGGTTCAGTTTGCCTCCTCATTTTTCTTTTTTTATGCCCTGAAATCTTCACAAGTTATTCTGGATGACCTGGCCTGACCCAGACCCTGACCCCAATTTTGACCTTGACCTGACTACACAGTGGGGTTTTTTTTCCCCAAAACTGCCAGATCTCAAACTGGCTACTTCAAAGAAACAGGTGGGAATAATCCTAAAGTACTTCACAGACTCATTACAGAATTACCTAATGATGAGATATGATTCTACCAGCTTTAGCACTGAGTGGTTGATCGTAAACCTTGGCTCCAGCAGACCAATGTTTACGCCATGGTTTTTGGAAGAATCAAGGGCCTGCTCTTGTAACTGATTCCCTTTGTTTATATATTGAAAGATTCGTGGCACATGTTCTATAAACACTTTCAGAGAGACATAGCCAATGACCAGAATCTGGCTTATTTAGTCCCCAATGAGCCATACTTAGTACTGATGAAGGAGACCTACTGTACAGTAGTCTCAGTTACAGTACAGTCCCATTAAACTTTCTGGGATCCCTTTAGTTTGTTAGAGTGGCAGAATTGTAAGATTTTATTCCAACAATGGACGTTGAAAACAGGTATATAAATCATGTTAATACTCCTTCTGAGTGCCTGACATCAGTTTTGAAGTGTCAGTGTATGTGTTCATGTTATTATTGCTCATTGAGCTGTTATCTCATCTCTGCACCACTAGGGGCCTTCATTGGATTAAAAACAAATTTACAGCAGGCTTTAAAAGTGGTAGAAAATCTTCTACAGCATGTTTGTTTTATAAACCTCAACACTATCTCCCTATTGGAATTGTTTTACTGTTTGCAGAAGAATACATATTTCACACCAAAACCCTGAAAAAGATGCCAGTGTCGTGTTTAAGAAGAATGATAACAGTTCATTTTAGCCTCATTGAGTCATTGAGTACATTTGATGTGACTCATTTTAACCTTAGGGGGCTTGAATTTATTATTAATTAAACACCATTAGAGTCATTTTTTGTTCCCGTCAGCCTTGCTCTGCAGGTTTAATGAAATGTTACTTTGTAGTCAAGGAAACACAGGGGGTAAATGTTCACAGGCAATGGAATGTGTTCACATAAAGTAAATTCTCTGGTTTACTAGAAGCAAATAACCCTCCTACATCAGCATGTCCTGACAAGTAAATTCATTTGAAACTTTGTGTTTTTCTTGCAAGCAGTCAGACTGCTAAGAAGGTATAAATTTGTACAGTTTTATACCATACAATTTATGAGGCAATTTTAAATCATTTTTTTTTCTCAGGCTAACCACTTTACTGATAAATAAATACTCTGTCTTTGGCAACAAATTCTTCTTGTATTCAAAAAATGAACTAATATTAACCAGTAATTAATGGCTTGATCAGATGGATATTAATAATGTCCTAGTCCATCTTCATATTTTTTGTTACCTTTTGTAGGGTCACAACATATTTGTGCAGTCGAAAGGTGGAAACGTTATCTGCTTAGGGACCATCCACGGGAACGTGGACATCACCACATCAGGAAAAAGTGTAAGTTTGTGCTCCTGTGTTTGTTAGATGGATAGTTTAGAATTTGATATTGCTATTTGAGAGACATGTTATGTGACCTTCAAATCCTGTATATTGGGATGAGAACGTCAATGTGAATGAGGCACCTGTGAGAAGAGTTCTAGTGTGAAGACAAGTGTGAGGCTTGTGGTGTAAGTGGAAGATACACACTTGAGTCAGATGGCATTTATATGTAAAATGAAAAATGTGACTAACCTGGTATTTAAAAATTAAAATTCCAGAAAATATGGTACATTTATTATTATTATTTATCTATTTTCTAACTGCCTCTTCCAATTCAGATTAGCGGGGAAACTGGAACTTAACGCAGCACCAACGGGCGTAAGTCAGGGTACACCCTGGTCAGGACGCCAGGCCATCATAGGGCACACACAGACACAAACACACTCGCACCAGGGCCAATTTTCCCAGAAGCCAATTAACTACCAAAATGTCTTTGGACTGTGGGAGGAAACCGGCACACCTGGAGTGGTACTCACACACCTGTGTATTTATTTATTTTTATTTATTTTGTTCACACACCTTTGTATTTATTTATTTTGTTTGTCTTTTGTTTTATAACTATTCTGATGTCTGTTTTGCTTGTCTTGGGCTGGACTGCTGTAACACATCAATTTCCCTACGGGATTAATAAAGTATTATCTATCTATCTACTCAAACACAAAGAGAACATACAAACTCCATAGAGATAGCACCCAAGGTCTCTGAGAGGTACAGTAGCAATGCCTGCTGTCTTTCCTCTGACCTGCTCTGAGCTCATTTTAAACAGACACCTGTTGTATGTGACATTTCAGAAACAAATGAAAGGCAAAGATAAGAATATCCGGAAAAGCCACTATGCCAGGAGTGTAAGATTTTCTGTAGTTCCAATATGGAGGCAGAAGTCACTCATATTACCTGTGGTAGTAACATAGGGTGACCCTGGCTGTACTCAGGCTATAGATGGGTACTGTGGGGGATACACCTTGTGAATGTTTTCTTCATTGTTCTCTGGAAAATGGCCTTTTGCATCACAATTTAAAAGTTAATTCAACCCTTCCCTGAATTGTGCTGTCACTTGTTGCATCTTTACAATATGTACCTAAACAATTAATCCATTAATGGTTATACCAACTGGTTATACCAATGCTACTCCACCTTATCCAGGTGATTTTTTTGTAGGAGGTGTACAATGGGAAGAGAATAAATGCTAACCTTCTGATATATTCAGTTTCCTTGCAGTCTTAAGTCATAGTGATTTTACCAGTTGGTGTCAGGAGTGTGGAGCAGTGGTTATTGTTCTGGACTCATTACTGCAGGATTGTGGTTTAAATCCTAGGTGACACAGTGCTGTTGTATCATTCTGAAAGGTACCAGAGCTGTTCCAATAAACTACCCAGTGGGTATTGCTGGGCACGAATGTACAATAAGTTGCTGTGGCTAAAATCATCTTCCAAATACGTTTATACCAATGTTTGTGAAGAAATTCTGATGCACATAATAATTTAATTATAAAATTCAGCATAAGCAGTAAGTGTTGGGAAAGCTACTTTGAAAATGTGGCTAACTAAATCTATAAGGTATTACTAAAAATTTTGCGGGGTACATTTAAAATTGCCTTTGAAGCTGCTTTTAAAATGTTAAGTGAAGCAAAAGATAACTAAGGTATTCTTTAAATAGTTAACTGCACATGGCTATCAAGATTTATTACTTAGTAACGGAAACTCATGTTGATGCAAATAAAAATATTTCAAAATGGCATTATGACAAATGTCTTAGTTTGTTACGACGATTACACTTGCCAACACTGAAGAGATGGTGAGAAGCACTGGCAGGCTAGCCTGTTCTGAACTTGAGCAACACCTACTTCAACATTGGCAAGGACCTACGTGCTTTAAAAAACGTTTTTTTGCTGGATTACAAAAATCTATCAACTTTGCTTATATCGCCCTTCTGATTCTTAATGTTTGGACAGTGTCCAGGAAATCTTTCATCATCCTCACTAAAAATCCCAGTTGCACTGTACATTCCTTCTGCAAAGGTCTGCAGCTTAGCTTTCTATTCCAAGTTGTTTACATCTTATCTAACAGCAGACAGCTTAAACTTGTTAAAATCGGTTTTTTGTAACACAGCATTTCAATCCTTTGTGAGAGCAAGAGAAGTGAAGAGCCTTCCAACTCAAGGAGACTTCTTCAGCATTACATGCAGTTATGACTATATTAGTGCTGCTGCAAATTAACAGCCTAAAGTTTGCATCTGGGTGATTAGTGCTTAGCATTGCTGCCTCACAGTGCCTGGGGCCCTGGGAATTAGTTCTGGACTTGTGGTGCCTTCTGTGTGAAGTTCGTATATTCTCCCTCTTGGTTCTTCCCACAATCAAAAGACATACGGGTAGGTTAATTGGCTTCTGGGAAAACTGGCCCTGATTTGAGTGTGTGTGTCTGTGTGCGTCCGGCGATGGGCTGGTATCCCTTCCAGGCTGTGTCCTGCCCTGGGCCCAGTGCTGGGCAGGTTAGGCACCAGCTCCTCCACAACCCTGAAATGGGTATAGCAGTTAGAAAATGGATAGATGTTTTACATCTGGAATGTGTTGTCTTTGGAAAGATCATCTTTAATGTACCGTTCACGCACTGTGCTGCAGATTTCAACAACCCATTTTTCACTATTCGTAAATCCCGGGATTATTAGAGAGCAAGGTTTGGACTTGCTGAAAATGGGCATACGTTATGTATTAGTCATCTGAAGCAAATCTTTCCTGCAAGCAGTTATGAAAGATATTTATGGAAAGGGAGGTCCAAAATGTGTGATCAAGGCTGTTGTGGGTAGTACATTTTTAAACATAAATAAAAGTGAATAGTGCTAGCTTTGTGAAATAATATCAATAGTGTAAAGCTGTACAGCAGGCAAAATAAAGTCAGAAATTCAATGACGACAAAATAAAAATTAAGGCCAGGTTATGGTGATTAGCAGACATTCCCTGTAAGTTTGGTTCTGTGCCGGTTTCTAAACATTTTTGTATCCCAATCAGAAACAGCAATCAGTACGACTCATTTCACATCCCATGCATTTTTGTTTCTCTTGTGTTTTAACATTAGCGCTGAATTGATTGTAATTGTAATTTTTGCCAGCAGCAGCTGAGAGAAAGATTTATCTGTCTCCCCCCCCACTCGGTCTGCTAACTTGATCTGAGGTACTGTACAAGAACACTAATGATTCAACTTTTTACACTACAAAGCAGCGTTGAACTCCATGTACTGTACTGTATATTCCAGTCAGTAACAGGTTTGTTTGAATGACTACATCAGGCAGCGTTTTTTTTTTTAAGTGTCCTTGCGGTTTTGGTATAGAAAACATTTTTACAGGCACTGAGGTGTTGGAATATAGCTTATTGGAAAATAACCCACTGAGACGTAGCTTACTGGAAAATAGCCTACTAAGAAAAAATATTTAATTTAGATTTAATCTTTAAGTTGTTAAGTAGGTACTTGCATTAATAATGTTGCCTTAACTCCAACATGTGTTGGGCTGGTGTGTCGCGTAATTACCTGAATCCTGTCTATTGTTTAAAAGTGTTCATGAACTTTTCCTCTTTCACATCAGATATGAAAAATAAAGAGACAGAAAAAAACAAACAGGAAGAAAAGTAAAAATGGGGGCTCAGCTCAAATACACAGGGGTTTCTTTTATGGATATGGAATACTGTACATGACCTCATGAGGCAGGCATACTGTACACATCATTATTACATTGATATTACAAACTATTAAGTTATGTAAATCATCTTGTCAGTATGGAAAAGAGGTCTGGACCAATGTATGCCAAGAAACCCACACTTTATAAAAGACATGAAGGTTTTGAATGTAATGGACAAGTTAAGTGAGCTAAAGGAACATACTCCAGTATAATCCAATGCCGATTTACTGTAGCAGGCATTTATTCCGAGATCCACAGCAAAAGGATATTTTTCCTTGCACGTTGTAGAGTCTTTTTTTAGTATTATTAGTTATATGGCTACTTGGAAGGCCAAATAAGAGACACTGGGTCCATTCCTACCTACCTAGTTCCTGAATTTCCTGGGAGACATCATACCAGTACTTTTACGACCTGACATAGGACTATTGGCAATGAGTTAGACTGTCAAGTCCTTTTGGCACATACGACACAGTGGAGAAAAACCTGTTGTGCTTTTGTTTCAATGACTGGGAGATCCAGTATATGTAATCTGTGTATTTTTTTAAGTTGAATAGGTTTTGTCCTGTTGATATTAGAGTAGTCCTTCAGTATATCATAAAAAACACTAATGGAGTGTCTTCCTTTTGTGAGAAAAACCTGTTTCTCAAACGTTGAGAAATGAAAATGTGTGAGTAGATTAGATAAGTCCCTTATCTGCATAGTGGAAATGTATTTTAGGATATTATATTTCTCATTAATTGATTAAAGGACATAAGTGTGGACCCATCAAACAATCACAAAGATTAACAATCGTTCTTGACAGTCACAGTGTAAAACCAGAATCCATAATGCCTGGTAAGAAGTCAGGGTTGTCAGTAATTGGAGAAAATGTAAAAGCTTACCTTGATCTCCCCTCAGTGCACCAACAAGCTCTTGCCTGTAGTGGTCTCATTGCATTTTCTCAATGCTTTCTGATTGATTTTAAATTCTTAGGGAGCAACGCATTTTAAAGGACAGTGTGATTGGAGGGAGGACGTTCATTTTTAAAAGTGAAATACGGCCCTGCCAGGATCTGGGGAGTGTGATCCAGGTGTGGGCCAGGTGTCTTTCCAGCAGTACTAGGCAGTTGTTTATGTCGATGAATTCCATAGCCTTAGCTGGACTGTCGGACCTTAGTGCCTCCGCCGTGAGCGACCTTCAGAGATGCTGGGTAGAGCTACTAGTAAACTGTGCCAAACTTCCGTATGTGGGCCTTCAGCTTGTTTAATCTTCTGCGCCACTCAGTGCTGCAGCTTGAGAAGTCCTGGAAGATCATTACTTTCAGCCCTTATACAGTAGAGGTCATACATTGTTTGCCAGGATGAGCCTCAAAGCCACCATCACTCTCTGGTTGTGCACGTAGCTGTGTAATCTGATAACAGCAGGTGGAGCCGCTGGCCTGAACCTGGCTTGGGGGCTAGCATGCAGTGGGACTTCAGAGTCTTAATAGCACCTGATGTGGTTTCTGTGTCCCCTCGGTCTTCTCTCGGAGGCCGACAACCCATATACTGAATTCTTTCTTCTCCCCCTATTTCGCAGACTGTCTGCACGATCGGCCATTTCCCACACCTGTTTTTCAAGTGCTTGTAGCCGAGCCTCAGCCAAGTCGGCAGCTTCTTCCACAGCTGTGATCCTTTGCCTCTGCACACTTTTCGTAGCGTTCAGGTTTTTCTCTGTGGCTTCAAAGCGCTCAAGATATTTATACAGTTGAACAGCAGGCTGGCTAAGCGAGCTTTCAGCAGAGTCAAACTCATTCATTTTTTGTCTTCCTTTGCAGCGTACTGTCAGAGATTCTCATACAATATTCTTCAAGGCTCATATCAGCATACCGTACCTCACATAAGAAATTATCACACAGGGCACATTTTGGTAGATATTTATGAAACTATAAATGAAATGGTGTAGGGCTCTACAGGAATCCACTGATCCCTGAGCCACTATCTTGGACCCCCCAAATTGTACAGTATTTATTTAAAAGATGTGCACTTTGAATATTAGGAGGTTACTGAATTGCAAGCAAAATGCTTAATGTAAACAAATGAGAAAACTGAGACAGAAATGTTTTTTTTTCCAGCGTGAGCAACTATTAGAATGTTCATTTCCAATTTAGATTATTTATATTGATGAATGTTGCATAAATAAGCTCTTTAACTGTCCATTCAGTGCACTTTTTTGTTTTACATAAGATAATTTTAAAAATGATCATTTATACAACATTGTAGTTTTAATGTGATCCACATTTGCTTCCTACCCATAGAAATTCTCAGATGATCTAACCATTGTATTGGTCTTGCTTGTTTACTAGAGTGTGGAAATCGACAAAGTCCAAGGAAACAGTATGAACATTTCTACAGAACACGGACCACTGAAAGCCAAATATATTTATGCTCAGTCTACTTCTTTGCATTCTGTTTCTGCTAAAATTGAGCTGGGAAATGTGCATGGTAAGTGACAAATGACAACTTACATTACATATGGTGTAATAGGATGATTTCCTGTTCACTTGTTTTTCCAAGAAAACGCTTTGTTTTCCTTTGAGATTAGATTTAGATTTTAAATTTTGTACATCAGTTACGAAATTTACACTAAACAACAACAAATAGATACACACTGTACTGTATATTTACATATTATACTTTGAAGATGGACAAAAAGGAATTCAAAAGCAGAATTTGGGTGCTAAATTAGGAGAATGATGATCTCATCTAACTACTGTTTATGAAAAACTCTTTTTAAAGGTTTTGAAAAATAGCAAATATCAATCCAAAGTGACGAGGGTTTGCCGACAATTTTGCTTGTAGGCACGGGAAATCAGTGTAACTTGAATTTCACCCAAAGTCTTTGACATTTTTGTCTTCTTGTTGCATGACGGGTTCTTAAAATATGTGTCTTATATGATCTATAGAGCAGTGGTTTTCAACCAGTGGGCCGCAGTGGTACTGCAGGGGGCCATCAAATCATTGTTGTAATTGTAAAAGAGTCGTAAATATATAACATAATATATATAATATAAATAACATAATATAAATATTTTATAGTTATTATAGCTTAGCATGCTGCGTGGCCGACGTGACCACCATTTAGCGCTATTATATGTGACATGACACAAAAGTTAATGCAGAATGTAGTATAACTGCTTAATCACCCTTCATATCATGGATAAGTGGTTCTGTTACAAGGAAAGACACAGAGGAAGGCCCATCTGCAAGCAAAGAAACCGCTTCAGTGTCTCATACTGATAATCTGCCGCAGTGTGTTGTGTGTTTCCGATTTTCATTTCAAATTCTTCAAGGTAAAGCAGTGACGATTTTTCACATGCAAATGGCCTCTCAATGCAAGCTCAGGAGTTTGCAACCTACAGTGGCTGCTTTCTAGTGTTTTCTTGTATTATCTAGAAGATCTCTGCACCAGAGCAGAGTTTGTCACAGAGGCACAAGATGTGTGGACGTTGTTCTGAAACTGAATTATACAGGGTGAATTTCTAGAAATGTGCAGGAAGATTTGTTTTTCCATTTTCCATCCAATATATAGCAGCAATTGTTTGTGCTGAAGGGTAAAGCTTTAAACAATAATAATAATAATAATAATAATAATAATTGCTTACACTTATATAACCACCAATGTGCAGCATCCACCTGGATGATGCAACAGCAGCCATAGTGCACCAGAACGCTCACCACACATCAGCTATCAGTGGAGGAGAGCAGAGTAATGTAGCCAATTGATAGATGGGGATTATTAGGAGGCCATGATTGGTAAGGGCCAATGGGAAATTTGGCCAGGACACCGGGGTTACACCCCTACTCTTTTCGAGAAACACCCTGGGATTTTTAATGACCATAGAGAGTCAGGACCTCGGTTTTACGTCTCATCCGAAGGACGGCGCCTGTTTACAGTATAGTGTCCCCATCACTATACTGGGGCATTAGGACCTAAATAGACTGCAGGGTGAGCGCCCCCTGCTGGCCCCACTAACACCTCTTCCAGCAGCAACCTAGTTTTTCCCAGGAGGTCTCCGATCCAGGTACTGACCAGGCTCACACCTGCTTAGCTTCAGTGGGTTGCCAGTTGTGAGTTGCAGGGTTATGAGTTGGGGTAACAATGGAGACGTGTTACCCCAAAATTATCGTTTGCAACTGGGAGGCAAGGGAAATGACTTAAAGATGTGTAGATTCTGAAAAAAAGACCTCAGAAGTTGATTTGATGTAAAATTGAAGGAGAAACCCCAAAGTGGGAAAACAGTAAACAATAATTGCCCTGCACAGGACACCATGTCTGTAGAGGGGAATGGAAATAATTAAGAATGATGCAGTGTCTGCTTCCCAGAGCCAGAACAGAGTACTTCTGGGGGAACAAAAACACTGTAAATATATATAGCTCAAAATCACAATCAAAAGAAAACACAAACCAAACCACCGAATGGCTCCAGCCCAGAAGCTTTCTCCCTCTCATTTCAATACAACCACAGGAGTCTGTGGAATGATACTGTTTCCACAGGGCTAGTGTGAGTTTGTGTTCAGAAGAACAAGTAAAATGAATTATAAAGTGTCTTTTTTTTAGGAAGCTGTATTAAGTTCCTGTTTTTCAGTGCTCATGCAGCTAGTGTGTTAATTATCCTTTTTAGTGCAAGTCGGTATTTACTATAGTTAATTAAAATGTTACCCTTAAAATACCCTTTCGTCATATATGTTAAAATGATTAAGTTAAAAAAATTTAATTAAAAGACCCTCCAGAAACTTCATGTTCAGCAAGTTTGAAGGACCTAAAGAAATTGCAGAAATATACTACACTGACCGTCCGTTAGGAGCAGTAAGAGCATTACAGGGGCAGTAAGCAAGACAGTCAAGATAGGATCATGTGCTGTTGGGTGACCTACAGCAATCTCCAAGAGCAACCTGTCCATCTGTCCAAAACCAAAACCAGTTAAAGCTCTTTAGCATCTTCTCTGTGTTTATGAAACATTTACACTCGCATCTAAGAATATTCAAAAGCTACAATCGGCACACCTACTATGGAGCTAAACTAGGACATGTAAATAGAGGAAGAGGAGTAAATGGGTGTCAGTTCACAGGGATCGTGGACATCAGAGGAAGAGTAAAAGAAAGTCAGATGGAAATGAACAACACAACAAGACCAAAAGACAAAAAACACAAAGGCAAGGACTCCTCTTCCAGTTGAATCAAAGAAATCCTAACACCAGCCTGCGCCTCAAGGAGCAGAACAGCTAGGGATTTGGAGTAGATGGCAAAGTTGGAAAGAACTTCGTCCCCCAGTGGATAGATGGAATTAATTTGGTAGTAAAGTGATTTCTCACTAGCCCACCTGATTTGCTGTTTTACTGTATGTCATCAATCCACTGTTGTAACAGAAGCATGGGGTGTGCCAACCTAACTACAAAAGCAAATGGAAAAACACAAGCTTTGAAACACTCTGCCCATCACCTGACTGGACTTCATAAACAGTGGTAGGCTTCCTCTGCCTGTGGCGGTACCACTGGAGGACAGAGGCCTCCATTTGCCACAGGCCCATCAGCCCCCGCGGATCCCGCCAGTCTGATCTCCTGTCTTGTGTGCAAACAGCACAGCCACAGCGGCCAGGCCCACCTGACACACCGCCCAGTGGTGGCTTTAGATATACAGTAGGGTCCGGATCCTTTACAATTTTAATTTTCAGCTGCTTTTAAAACATTTGTTTCTTGTTCCTTCCAAATGGCCAGTGGAGCTTGAAGGAAAAGACCAAAATATATTTGGTTTATTTATTTGTACAGCGATTATTTGGAAATTGATTAAAATACTAGGCCTTTTAGTGATGTCTCTTTGTAGCAACTACCTTGTTTTCAAGTTGTATAAATTTGCATATTGAAAAATCATTCCCATTGTGCCTCGCAGCACCTTTTGAAGTGTCATGGAAATTTGTTTACCCTTTCCCAGTATGAGAATTTTAATAGCACAAGAATGGCAATACAACTTAAAAAAGAATTAAGATTTCTAAATGTTTAATATTTTTCATATGTGTCATGACACTTAAGGTTTTTTGTGATCTTTTAACAGGTAATGCAACTGTGCAGAGTGAAACAGGAAATATTGTTATAGGTATGTTGACTCTAAATACTGTTTCCAACAAATCTTTTTTTTAATTTGTAATTATTTTATGAAACTATTCCAAAAGAAATTTGGTGATTTTCTGTTCCAGTAAGAAATTGTCTATCGATATACTGTATATGCATATGTTTTTCTTGTTTCATATAAAAATATATATAACTATTAAGATAGTATCATTTTATTCCAAACTGGGGATTTGCTTGTTTTTGTTTTCTAGTTTTGCTTTGGACATACTGTGGCCATTTATATAAGGCTACATCTTTTGAGACATAGAAATTATGTTGAAACCAAAATTACAGATTACAGCAATCTTGGAGTAACATACTAGTCAACATCTGGAAAGAGATCTGTTTCTGCAGTTTTTCAACAAGTAGTTTGTTTGAATTTTCACAATCACAGTTTGAAGACTTCCATGAAAGCAACAGATAAGAGTGCAGGGCAGTGTAATTAAAATAGTGTCATACATCCTGTATGCTATTATTATGTTTTGGAAGAAGTATCAAAAACTGAATAATACAACATTCTTTAGAATTTTCCTTTTCTGTACAACATAAGGGATGCCACTAAACTTGACTCTTCTGCATGTTGCACAGTGTCTGAAGTTGCTTGTCTAAAAGCTAAATTCATTCCTATATTGGATTGTTAAAATTGCTAACAGTTTTGCCAGTTCATTTCAGTCTAAATGGAATTAGATAAGCTTGGTAGTTTAAAAGAAGAATTTAATAATAAGGCCATTGAAACTAAAGGCTATAATCCATTGATCTCATAGGTGTATGTTAAATGTATTTATTTTTTTGGTCTTGTCCATATAAAATTAAGTTCCAGAATTATTGTACTGTAGTTTGAAAAATGGTAATTTGATTTATATTATATAGTTTATCAATGTCAACAAGTGCCTGTAGTTTGGAAGCAGAAGCAACCTTGCCCTTTCAGAAAGACAAAAACTGTGTCTATGACTTGCAGAAGCAACATCTAATTACATAACTGTTTAGAAAAATACACTCTAATTTTTGCTCAGCTTTTGATCAGTCATACCGAGGTCTTGTCCTATGATACATTTTTCTATAAAGTAATAAATTGTCTTATTGTGGTGGGGAAGTGCATTTTGCAATTTTACTTAGAATGCTATAGTATTTTCTGGATTCTTGATTTTCTTTGGCATTAAAATGATGAGGCTACTATGTGACACACATGGTGTTCTTTTATGAACTACTTAACTTCCTATTTTGCAGATGGATCAGATGGTCATCTAAAGGCTTTCACACATCAAGGAGACATAGATGCTTACATTAGCCTCTTTGGAACTGCAGAGCTGCGTAGCCACGGAGGTAACACTTATCCCTTGTTACAAAAAGTCAGTTCTTTTTTAGGCCTAAAGATTAGTGGCAAATTAGATTTTTCTACATCAATTCAGAATACTTTCATTCAACATTTGTTTAACATTTTAAAAATGACACATTTAAAGCACATCCAATGAAGCACTTTTCTCTGCAATTTGTTGCCATTAAGGTGCTATCTCAGTCAGAGTCCCGGCCTCCATGAAGACTGAATTGCAGTTATCAGGAGCTGTGGTTGAGGTGAGCCCTGAGATAGTCTTGCACGAAGCTGAACACAATTCCACAGCTGACTACACAACTGTCACTGGTGAGTCACAGATCTTTATTTATTTGTGTAATACATTTCTGGTTTATTTTGAAATGTTTTAGTGTTATAAATGCAAACCAAAGCCGAAATCAATCAAGATGATGATGATGGCTTGTTAAGAATTGCTTTTGAAGTATGTTTTGGAGGAAGAATGGTTCCACAGTAGTTCAGACAACAGCAAACAGGCATCACATGGGAATTTTTGATATTTTTAAAAATCATAATTTGCTGACTAGTTTTAATTACACATAACTGGAGAAATTATATCAGTTTCCTTGAAATATTATTTGAGTTTGCAAAATGCACCCTCTCTTCATGTAACTATTATGTATGTACTGTACAAATGTATTCTGTGTGTTGTAAATCCTTGTGAAGACGCCTTGGTGTTCTGCTGATTGATTCCTAGTAGCCAAAGTAAACTCATGCAATTTACTGTTAGAACTAAACATTGTGCCAGTAAATTCCCAAAACCGCTTCGTCATCTAAATAGGACACAGACCTCAACCCTGCAAACCATTTGCATATCTTTGCATACTACTGTAAAAACAAAAGAAAATTAGAGCATGACTGTTTGCCTTCTGTACTTCACAGTACAGTACAATACAGAATTCTGTCTATGTAATATTGGGAGATACATTTAGTGCATAAGCCAAATCTGATTGTTTTAGGAGTCAGTTCAAGGTAGTAAACTAATTGTTAATACGTTGTTTCCAATATTTAATTTATATAGTCTATTTTCAATTAAGTGCATGATTTACATAACCAATAAATTCTATAATTTAGCAGTTTACTTACAACTACAGATTATCAACACCTCCTCTCGTTTGGAACCTTTCTTATGCTCTTAATCGGTATGTTATGGTTAAAGGGTGGCTGGTGATCGTAATGAGGTTTGTCTGATGCACAGTTGTGTTGTTACTGTAGCTGTAGCTTTTGCCAAATGGAAGGTGATCCCCTGAAACTGAATACTACAGTTGACTGGTATTGTCAATTGTTAGCGCTGCTAAAGTTTTCTTCGGTAATCTCTAGGAAGCAGCAGGAAGCAATATGTGTTTAGAAATGTTTTTTAAGTTTTAAAATTATTAAATTTCTTTTTTTATCTTTTGAAGGTCTTATGAACGGAAAAGCTGATGGAAAAAACTGGATAAAAGCCCAAGCTGTAAGGGGGGTTGTTAGCCTGAAGACTCAAAGCTGGTTTGAATCACTGAAGATTGGGAAAGCCTAGTGTTTCAATAGCACAAACTTATCTGCGATGAAGATTACTGTCAGTGGGAAACTAAAATATAGAAGGTATTTAATGAAATGGTGGTTAATTATGTATGAATTGTAGCTTAGACATTTGCCCAGGGAGCAGACCATGACTACATCATTTACATATGTTTATTTTAAAATTAACTGAATATCATTTTATTGTACATTGTTAAATAAAACGTCAGTATTTGTTGTTCATAATGAACAATGTTTTCGAACTGTACTTCACCAGTAATTTCTGCGTTTACATGTTCTTCTATACTGATCGAAGCCTAATTTTTTTAATAGCAGTTATGAACAAAAGTAATGATGCTGACAGCTGACTGTGCCCTCTCTTTTATTAGAAATGTGGTCTTTTTTCACTCAGTACTGTATGTACTTCCAGCAGTAGTTTTTAAGAAGAATATTATTTCTCACAGTTCAGTTTGACTAACAAGGATCAAAATGAATTTTTGAGTATATTCCAGCAATAAAGAGTTTGTATGCTAAGTGAAAAGAAAATTCATTATTGAAATAGCATAGTAAGCTATAAAATAAACTTTTCTGTTTCCAGTTTCAGCGTTGCTGAAAATGTATCTGTGGCTGCTGAAATTTACAGCTGTAAATAATATTGGTTCCAAGAAAATACATAGTGGAATTTGTGCTGCATCATTGGACTTTTTGCACGGCACATTTTGCTTTGAAACACTATTGAACAAAGTGTAATTACATTGGCAAAAGTCCTAAAACTAATGCATTTCTGACTTAAATTTCTAAAAGTTTTTAATGAAAAGCAGCTGTTTTGTCTTTAAAATTCATTTGCATTATTGTTAATATTTTTTCTGAAGCCAGTAACTAATTTACAGGAAAAAGTTTTAACTAGTACTAAAACTTATTTTTACAGAATATGAATGCATGGATTTGTCTTGCATGTCTTTTTATAGGTTTTATTGTCACTGTAGTGTCCATCCATTTAGCTGATTTGCTGGACCTAACATTAAAGAATGGACTTCCTGTAGAATTTGTACTACTGTACATCACAAAGAGTCACTGTGTGGTATTTGATAATTTGTGAAAGACGATCCTTTTAATAGATTATCATCACAGAAAAATAAGAAAATGTTACCAAGTCCTCAGTTCTCAGTAAAAATAGATCTGTGGCCTGTTGGTTCCGCCTCCTCTTCCCATGGTTTTCCTGTCTTTTCTGGCTTGGTGGTGGAGTCCAAGAGTTCTCCCTGGCTGTTGTACCCAAACCACGAAGGGGGATCGTCGTCACTGTGCTGCCAAAGCCGGATTCGTGGCTTCATTTTCAGGGCTGCTTGTCTGAGGAATATGACAATGTCTTCTAAAACTGTAATAATTGCACTGTTTATAATTTAAACAATACAGTATATCCCAGATCTCTGTACGCAACCATTAAATGTTCACTCCAATTACTGTATAGTATATCAAGGAGCATCACTGTGCAATTGGTCACTTTCAGCTTCTTACCTGTATAAAACACTGTATAACTCACTGTTCACTTAGGGTTGCAGAAGTACAGCTGGTATTATTTATGCATAATTTTGTGAAGCACATTAAAGGAAACAAGCATTGCTGGCTGTTTACATGAAAAAATGAAAGATATGAAGAACTGTAGGCTAACTTGTCACTTTGTTATTGAACAGTCTGAAAAAGAACCATTTAAACTGCAAATTGTGATTAATACGTGGAATATGTGAACATGCTATTGTTAAGAGGATGTATGTGCTTTAGGTAGAGCCTGTTAAGGGTAGAGAAGGAGCATGAGATCAGTTTTTTAATCCATCCACTATCTGAAAGCCACTTGTTCCTGGTAAGGGTTGTAGTAACATGTGAGCTATCCTGAAAGCACAGAGGACAGGATACAGCTATGAGGCAGCACCTCTTACTACCATTCAACCCAATAATAATCCAGACCTATACTTCTATACCATTATAGAGCACTTTTAATTTGATTAATTTTTGTGATTGTGTGGACACATTTAGGGTCCACAAGTCTGCCATATAGTGGCACTCAAGGCACGTCATAATGTCTAGGTTTTGGTTGACAGGTACCAAAAAAGGCTTACCTGGAGATGCCTCTGCAGTACATCATTTTGAGCACCTTCAGCTGCTGGCATCCCTTGTGTAAAAACGTGGGCGTCTTGTCACTAAGGCGAACGCAGCCACTGACATCAAGCTCACGCAGATAATGGCACGCTCCTGTTAGGTACTGTATACACATATCTGTCATCTGGGGTGGAACACAATCACAGATGTTACATTTCTGTGCCAGTGCTTGAATTGTTTCTCTACAGTCTGTCACTGTGATGGAGCAATGGAAAGATTTTTTTTTAAATGATTTTTAGACATCTTCTCTGGAATCAGTATCGATCTGGGTGAAGGGCCCAGATCAGCTGCAAGCCATCATGAGGACAGAGACATTCACTTAACTGTTTTTAAAGGTTTCTAGTTTTGACTCTGTTTGCACAAGGCCTTTATTGATAAAATGTCATCTTAAAATTAATGCTGAAAACTGGGTCACAGAAAACACAGCAGCCCTTCTACTGTATGTAGCTTTCTGCTCTTCTCCTCTGTCTCAGCATGCCCAAACCATGGACTGTTCCAATCATTCATATTGTATGTTTTAAGATCCCTCTCCAGGGTGCCTCTCAGTAGGAGTTAGCATGATTTACTGAGGTGAGTCAATCCTCACCAATTCTTCTTACCATGACTAAAGACCTCCAAGGGTCAATGGTGACCTTCCTGGCTGAGAATTTAACCCAACTGGGACTTTTGCTGAGACTCAGACTACAAGATAAAATGTGCTCTTCAACCAAGTGAGGTTTATTATTTTCTTTTTATTTTAAAAACAGTGAAAATTCCTAAACCATTTTGAATATAATTTCATATTTACAGTAAATACATTCTTACAAATGCAGAACTTTTTTTTAATATAGAATCAAATCTATAAAAAAGAAAACATTACCATCTTTCTGTACTGAAAATAAGAGGAACCAAAATTATACTGGGGTTTAGGTAAAAAAATATTTTAATGCTTCAAATTGGATTTAGTGTGCCCTTCTTTATTACCCAAACTATTTTTAACTTTTATGGGAAAAGGTAATGAAAGAGAAACATGTTCTAACATTTGAGTTTCCATTTATGGCCTTTTGTAAACATACTTTGGGGCATCCAGAAATGTTGAGTGAGATGATCGTCCGGCAGTAAAAAGCCAGTGCTTTAATAGTCTGGTCTGTCAGTGAGATGCAATGTGAAACATCCATGCACTCCAAATCTCTGACTTGCTTGCAAAATTTCTGCAACACAAAAGATAAAGTAAGTTGCAACAGACAGGAAAGACTTCTCCTGTCGGAAGTCTGAATGGTTTGTGAAAAAATATGAAAGGTTCTTTTTAATATATCAGACTAATCCTTTAGGATTTATTGCGCCAGCTCTGATTATGAAAAGAAGAAAAAGCCCTGTTCATAAAATTTTTGGCAAAATACTGAAGCCTCAGACAGATGTACGTGAGTCGCATAATGTCAATTTTTAATTTGCTTTTAGATGTTTTCTGGTTAAAGAGATAAACTGAAGCCTTAGAAAGAAAAACTGTTCCATTTTAACTTTATTTCATGCAGTGTACAACAGACATATGTTCTTCATTCATGAGAGCATATATATTTTGATTCTTGAAAGTGTATGTCTAAAAGCATGCAACAATGAATAATAGTGAACGTTTAATTTACCTAACATATTCTTCTAATATTACTGAGTATGAAGAATAAAGAGGAAAATATTTAACTATTGCACATTGTTTTAATTAAAGATGGAAAAAATCATGCCTCGACATCTACACATAATAGTTCCAGATGCAGTCCTCTGTATTGTATAAAAATGTAGTTTTTGATCATATATTTGGCATTCGTACAGTACAAAACATGAACATATTTGCTATCGATGTGTGCCTGATGACCACTCTTTTCCATTTTTTTTTCTGCGTCACAAAAACATCCAGAGAAACTCGGCATTGGTTAAAAATGGGGCCAACACCTTTTTTGAATCAAGAATGCTCACACTACAATGTGCTGTGCTTTTTACTAGTCCTACAATGTGTGAAAACATTGATTTCACCTGGACAAAACTAAAAAGTATATGTAATTTCACTGGAAATAACAACTTCCAAGAAAAAAATGCTTTGTGAGTGTTTATTTTAAGTATTTCAAGTTTTAATAAATTTTGGCTTAACCCGCTTGGTTAAAGGGCATCCTCTCAGTCATAAGACGAGGGCTAGAAGAACCGAAGACGCTGCATGCAGGGTATAGGAGCAGACAAGGGCAGGAGACAGTTGAGAGTAAATTAATGAACAGGAGGATGAGCAAAACGAGAGAGTAGGAGCTGCAGGGATAGAGGACCAATAGCAGGAAAAACAGCGTGACTGCGAGGAGAGGAAGTAAAGAGAAATAAAAACAAGGGGACAAAGTGGAACGGAAGGTCCAGGGAATGGACTGGTGATAATTGGCATCTATCTGCTTGCTGGGGGAACATTATCATGGGAGGCGGAAGTCTGCTACATGACAGAGTTTATGATGATGAAAAAAAAATGGTGCATTTCTTATCGAAGGGAATGCTGTGATAGCAGAGTCCTTTGCAACCCAGCTAAAGTCCAGTGTTTGCTGTCAGGGATTGCAGTAAAGGGAGATGGAGGGGGAATGAAGCAGGAGCAGAGGAAGACAAAACTGCAGGCTGATTGCGAGAAGCCTGAGATTCTTGCTCAAGGCAGGAAGTTCTTTGTGAGAACAACAGATGTGGAGATCCACAGGGAAGAGGAATAGTATATTTAAAAGGACACCGCTGAGTTTCTTTCCTTTTATTTTAGGTGGCTTTGTTTGTTCAATCTGAAAAGTTATGGAGAGGCAAGCGTAGAAGTTTTCCTTTCTTTCTGTCCTTTCAGTTGTTTAATTTAAATGATTCGGTTTAATTCAACAGTGAGGATCACGGTCTGCATTTTGAATTATGCATGAGACAACATAGGAGACAAGTAGAATACCTATATATTTATTTGGTAGTTTGGGGCATGGTCCATGTACAGGTAAATAATGCGAAATTATTCTGATTTAAAACACTTTGGTGAAATTGGCTTTGTCTGTCATTATCCCTCCTGAACTTCAGTTAAGAACTTACATGTATCTGTTAAATCCCTCTCCAAATGATTTATACTTTACAGATGACAGTATGAACTCACTGCATGGTCTTTAAAACTATTCACTTAGTGTGAATTATGTGCTCAATGTGGTGTTCTACAAAAAATAAATCTCTTAAGATGTAAAGATACCCTACTGTATTTAGTTTAAAAAAATGAAACAAAGGAGTGTGAACATTATTTTTTATGTCTAACATCCCAGATATCTTTGCACTCTTGCCTGTCCAGGCAAGTGGGCATATCTGCCCACTCCCTTTATACACCCACTCTGTTTCCTCCAAGGAAGCCTAACACAGGGAAAAAATATTCCTGTGGTAAACACAGGGGGTCTGCTTCTCATGAGTCATTCATATTTTAAACAGAAACAGGACAATCTGGCAACTGGCAGAAGATCAATGTGAAGTGTGAGATTTTTTTGAATGCATTCCTTTCCCTGCTACAAACATTTTTAAACATTTACATATGTAAGTTACCTGGAGATGTCAACATGAGTTGTATGGTGAAACTAACTCTGATGATAAATTCTGTTTACAGTAATCAAATTAATTTGTAAAACAACTGGTACTCCTATAAAGACGTTTTTAACTAAAATCACCAGAAAAATACAACCTAATGATAATACGGCAGAAAATGATTTTGCATTATTTGTGCCTCCTCTGATAAATGAAAAATATATTTTTCCTTATGAAAAAGCTTGGCTACAAACTTCTAGAAAAGAAGTCTAGTTTGGGATGATCAGACATCTGTTTAATCTTTACACAAATTCCTAATTTTACGGAACCAGGGTGCATTGTTTTGTAACATACTGTGGAAAAGTTACAAATGTTTAACAAATTAAGACGTTTAAATTCTGAACTCAAATAGCATTATTTTCTTCTGTTCTCTCTAAGACCAGAATGGAAATCTATTGCCTTTCTTCACATTAATTACAGTACAGTAAAGCACTTTTCTAGTGACACACTATGCTAAATGAGGTCTTACTAACTAAATCATTGTATAATTTAACTTCCCTAGATTAACAGTCTTTTTATAGTATATATTGGGTTTGGTTTTCGATGTGCAGGCCATTTGTCCCTTGTCTTAGGTGTTTATTTTAGGTGATTATTTTATTGCCCAGCAACAGCTCTGGCACTGAAATTCTTACACTAGAACAGCTATACAGGGGGAGAGTATCTGTTGGAGTATGCTTTCACAGCAGAGGTCAGATCAGAATGTCCAGCTGAGTAGAGACCAGAGGGCAGGGCTATAGGCACAGAAGTTTTTCATACAAAATTAAGGGAAAGTACCAGCAATTTACATATGTGTGGACTTTTCCAAGTTTGATATTAAAATCCATTAAAAAAGTGTTTTTCGTCACTTTTTAGAATTATCTTAGTGTACAAGCTCGCCTGTGCAGGGTTATTTTAGCAGTTTACATTTTCCTAGACAGAGATGTATGTTTAATTATGATTGTAAAAGAGTTGTCAATGTTAGTACTCCAGCTGGATGGGTTTTGAAACTCAACTGTACATATTTAACCAAACGTTTCCTGAAAACCACTTACTGCTGGTAAGGGTAACAGCACCAGCTGTTTATAGGGGTTTGCCAGTATTAGTCTGTGTGTTGTGCCTTGTTTCTAGGTTTGTGAAATAAATTTTTTAAGCTATTTCCCATTCAATTCTCAACCATCAAATTGTTCACAGAAAATTAAAGAACCCACATGATCTTACTCATTTTGCCAGAGTAGCAGGAATGTTTTTATAGCTACACCACATTATCTGATTGAGGATAATGTAGAGTCCACAGAAACAACTAAATCTTTTTCAAAAGCATCTGCAATTGTCCTTATAATACATACAGTATTTTTAACCTGTTGGCTATCCCATTTTTTGTCCTCTACAAATTTGATGCAGTATGTTTTCTGAACATATCAAGTTGAGATCATGTACAGTATGTAAATCGGCACTCCTGAAACTAATCTCTTTCCTGTGCTATGCCAAAAAAGAACTCTCATACAATTTTGAGAAGTTCAAAAAACATTTAGGTTGTTGAAGTGATAAAAAATATTGTACACTGAACAATGATAAAAATGGTGACAACAGCCTAAAAAGATATTTAAAAATAATGTCAAAGAAACAATGAAAACTAAAAGTGTGAAGGTTTCAACAAACACTAAAGATTACTACTGACAGATACTTTAGATATTGTGACTTCATTATGAATCCTATATTTTTTGGGTTTAAAATCTGTACAAGATATACCACATTCTTGGCCAAAAATGTAATACTTCAATTGTATACCTCAATTCCAACATCCGTAATCCAAAGGCATTCTGAAACAGTTAATTTCTTAATACCAGTGTTGTTACCAAGAGCCGCCAAACTCTGTTAAAAAAAAGAAAGAAATGTACAGTACATCACTAATTGTTGATTTCTTTAGACAGAATGGCCAAGCTTCTCTCCAAATTCAGCACACTGAATTTTTAACTAAGCTCTCACCCCAATGGTAGAGGTTTGAGAACTTAAGTCTATCATTAATTCTTTGCTCTGTAAATGACATTGAAGCATAACATACTGTAACGTACACATGTAAAACAAAAAATAAAAACTAATAAGTCATAATAAAGCAATAAAATGTGTTGATTTTGAGTTGGATCTGGAACACATCTCTCCTATTTACATTAATTTATAATAAAAAAATTCATGTCTGGCTAACATGATTTTGCCTTACACATGACTTTTTTTATCTTTTCATGAAGAACAAATGTGTACAGCTTCCAAAATAACCAGCACATGTTCACATTTGTAAATCATTTAATGTTTCCCATCAGAAAACAAAATGTTTTGGAAAAAAGACGGAATCAGATTAAGTTATTTTGGGACTTAATCGTAGAAATTAAATAATAGCATATAATATTGCTACTGTACAAATGAAATGCTTGTCCTGGATAGTTGAGCTCAATGCTAATTGTAATACATAGGGAGTGTAAATACGTAAGGTCACATTTTACTGAAAAATCGGGTCTTGACAACAGTTTGCTTAGAATCTACATGTATCAAAGACAATATTGCAACCCCCTTTAGTCAGCATAAGTCAAGCATGGTTATATGGCTACTTTGGTGCTAACAATGTGCTTTCGGAAACAAGCAACAACTTAAAATACACACAGACATCTGTTTTCAAGACTGATGGACAACACACACAACACATGAAAAGTTTACATACGTTTGCAGTGACAGTGAGTATCCAGACCCCGCTTTTTACAAAACTAAAATTGACCAGACCATGTCTGCCAGTGGTCTTAACAGCACCCAAATAAGACTAATGCAGTTACCATACATTAAAGCCATTATAATACAGTAAAAGTCTCCATTCAAGACAAAACTGATGCTAAATCAGTTCCCTTGATCAAATTAATACATCACAATGCACCAAAAAAGTTTTTCTTTTGCCTGATGACTATTTCCACAAACATATAAGAACATTGTCCATTTTCTAAGTTTAAATTGGGTCTCTTCTCTTTTCAGTTCCTGACAGACTACTACACTAACAATTCCACCCTCTCCTCTCTAGGCCTGTAATTAAACTGAGAGGTGAATACTGCTCAGTGACCACACAGTAATCCTAAAACAGTTCTCTGTTAACTAATTACTACTGCTATATTTCTACTCTGTTTCCTGTGCATTAGCCAATTCTCATTCCATTCACAAACAGTACATCATTTAGGAATGCCTTGGGTTTAGGAGTGAGAATTAGCTTTGTAGATTGCAGATTGCACTTGCATACTTTATATTCCTACTGTTACCATTTCAAAGAAAGCTTCTAAGAAAAAAAGGCCTACCCATTCTCGGTACATGCTATTTATCACATGTTTCTAAATTCTGTTATATTATTTCTTGAAATGTCAGTTTGGATGAAAGATGTCATCCTGGACTTTGAACAAACACTTTTATTGTCTTAGTCACTTTGAAGCTCAAAACTGAGAAGTGCATAAAAAGTTTTGTCTTAAAAAGTCCCTTTCATTATTCTTACGATGAAATAGTTCATTTATCTTCGGTACTACAGAGGCTATTCCTGAACGTAAACAAGCTGAAGCACTTGGATGGCATTACATATGCAGTAAGTTAAATTTAGGTACATGATAAATGATGATCAGGCAACAAAAGTTATCTCTCTAAAATATCATTTCCATTTCTGTAAAATCATTTTTTTTTAAGGAGGAGAATATTGCAATCGGCTCTAAACTAAATAACTACAAATGTATAGGAAACATGTAGAAAACGAAATGGAAATGGCTGATATATTGTAATGAGTATTTCACTCAGTGACAGCGAAGGAAGAAGTCAACAACATGCCCCAGACAGTGGAAGAAGAAAGTCCTATATTAAATCGTACAGAAGAGGCAGGCATGTTTTGGATACTACTGTATAGGCAAAGCTAATAAATCCTAATTACCCAATGGTATACTACCAATTATACTATATACTATACTATACAAAATGAGAAGTTATTCACAGCAGCTCTTCCAGCAGCTGCTCATAAATGGATAGTACCCAAAGACTGGTAATGTAGTGACCATCCAAAAGGATGTCAAAACTGAACCAAGTAATTATAAACCCATAAGTCCGACAAATGTTAGATATTAGGTAATGGAAATGATAATTGGAAATAAACTATAGGTACACTTAAATGGCAGTAATTGATGCATCCAGAGCACTGTACTTACTGTACAACGTGGCACACTGGCAGCTACATCAAATTGTTAATGGAAAATGTAACTGAAGTATAATTAAAAAGCTGTTTAACATTTAAGACTCTATCACTGATTTAAAAAAAAACATCTTAACCTGAATCAGATTTGTTTACTACATTTTATATACTATATCATAAAATATGATTAGCAAAATAATATTGTTTTACAATAAATCTGCTTGCACTTATTGCCTGATGTTAATGTTTTCTTGGAGGTTGACATGGACATGGGACGTGTGATGTGTTTTTAGGACAAAGAAACAGAAAATGTCCAAAAGAAATTAATTAAAGGACAGACTGGAGTGCAGACTGTTTTAAGAGGCAGTAAAATGTTCGTAAAAATGTTTTAAGCCTTTAACTTGAAACCCCATTAAACTGAAGTTTAGTTTTAATTAACAGGGGTGTTAGAATGTTACAAAACATATGTACTGTAAACCTAAAAGCAACTAAATACGAAATGTTACCATAAAACCAGTAAAGAATTTTAGTGATACGGTTCAAAACTCCATATAAATATCTAAGAAATCCTGGAATCAATGATGTCAGGGAAGGGAATGACCTCGGTGCGGTCAGCCAACCTGATCCATTTCTGCTGCTATGAAAGGCCCAGAATGGAGACACAGTTCAACAGGAACACGAGGTTTGCGTGAGGAATATTCTTGGCATTCATAGTTGACAAGGAAGAACTTGGTGCTGTCCCTAGCTAGGCTATTGTAAAGCCCTCTTGACCAGCCTCCCTGCTAAAGCTACACATCTCAGCTTGTCTTCTCTCTTCCTCGCTACTCAATTTCTCCAGTTCCTCCCTATTGCTATTCTTGCTCAAAACCACTCTGCTCCCATCTTAAGTCATTTGTTTCTTCCTTCACCTCTATTCCTAATTTGTTCTACCTTTCTGTTCTCCCACTTCCAGAGCCTTTTATTCTGCACTCTTGTTGCTCTGTGGTGCACTGCTCAGTCCCTCACCTATGGACACCTCTTGCATCTTGTTCAAGGCTCATCTGCTCAGACAGCACCTGTGATCTCTCAGCTCCGAATTACATTCCTCAACATGTTCAACAGCACTCTCAAGCTCTCAAACTGGCAGAATGATTTACTTTTATTCACTGAAAACATGGAATACATACAGTACTATCTCTCTGCCTTAATTATTGTGATCACACAGGTACTAAAGCATGATAAAACACTGTCTATACTGGGTCAAGAATACTCTTCAATAAAGATCAATAAAATGATTTAGAAAATCACCCAATTATTAGCATTTTTAAGTCAAATTAATATTATCCTAAATATTGTCCTAGAAATATCTTCATTTCATATTCAAATTCCTATACCAAACAGAACCAGCTGTTAAAGTCTTGTGTGAAGCCTTTAACAGAAAGACAGACAGTTTATAAATGAAGCCAAACCTTTTGTTTTGTCCTTGAATTTTAATAGATTATATGTTGGGTATGTAGACAGCCTCACCCCCTAGAGAATACCTTAAGCACGCACTGTAGAAGGTATAGAAACACGTGTAAAAAACATTAGCAAGGTAGGTCGTCTTAAGATTTCCGGTCCTTCGATGAGCAAAAGACTTGCAAAAACATCTGTTAGAATTTGAAGCCCCGTGTTTCTCCAAAGAGGAAAAGATAATGGAGAGTTACATGTACTGTATACAGCTGATGAACTGATAAAAGCCCACAGAGCTAGCAAACTAGGAAGAACTCGCGTTGCTATAATGACAGCTTGGCATGAGAACAACTCAGAGATTGTAGCACTCGCAAAGTGTGGAATCGTTGTTTTTTTAGTAATAGCCATATTGTATAGGAGCAGCACCCCTCCAGAATGAACTATTTTCAATGGCAGAACACATTGTTTAAATCTCCAATGCTAGAAGATTTACTTTTTTTCATATTCTGTAGCTCATCGGTTCCAGAGAGGTATTGTAACTCCAAAATTAAAAAAAAAAACTTATATCAAATGTGTTGGATTGAATGTTTTAAAGACACTTTGTGAAACTTTAGTGCTTTTGTTCCAAATACAGTAAAATTCTTACAAGTACAACACAATACAGCTCAACATATATTCTGAAACACGAACATTTAATGGAAATACAAAGTGATGTGTGTTTCCGCTAATTATTTTGGCAATAAGGCATTAATAATGATCACATCAAAGCACAGCTTGATATCTTTGTGTCAGTTGAAGTTCATTAATAAGCAACAGCTTTCTGTTAAACACTTTACTGATTAGTGTGTATCACAGTGTGGCTGACTGTTGTCAATTACAAAACTGCCTAAAGAACAAACATCAGACAACATTAAGCCTGTCAGGAAATGATGCAGATCACTTCACCAAGTTTCTTTCCCTCTGGCTCTACCTGGTCTTGGATGTTGGTTCCTGAAAGGTCAATGTGGATCAGGGAAGACAAGCCACTCAGCCACTCAATCCCAGAATCAGTCAGATGCTCACAGTAACACAGACTCAACTGGGTCAATTTATTACACCTAAAAAGGGAGTGAAATATGGCATGCTGTCAGATGAGAGGTCACAAAATTACAGGATTGAATACCTTAAGGTAAAATTGCTGATACCTCTGTGCTATTCTCAGTAGCGACACATCACTAACACGCACACAGTTAGTCAGATTGAGCTCTCTGATCTTCCCTGCTGACGGTCCTTCCACAAGGTATCTGACTCCTGTGTCACTCACCCTGAAGCAGCAAACATAAACAGACACAATTCATTGAGAGATATCCACTGAGATGATTGTTCTGGAGTGCTCTTTGTTCGGGGCTTAAAACCAAAGATACCTGTATACTCCTATAAGATATGCCGATCAGTGAATTATGAGCCCAGACAAGAATATTTGCAGCATTTCTGTTGTCTTTGAACTGCAATGAACTATAAATGCCTTCAATGTAAAAGTGTATCTTAACGGGGATCTTTTGTTCATAATATTCAAAAAGGTGTTTGTTGTTTTTCCACTTTTTATATCCTTAACAGGGGTGAATAGTAAAGTATAGCATCAGCACTGTATAATATTTCTGAATTTAATGTGGCAGTACAATAAATCATGTTAAGCTGTATTTTTGTCTCTCAAAACAATGTGGAGGATTAATGTACAGTATATTCACATATCGAAACAGCACAATTTCACCTCAATGGTTTTGCCAACAAACTGAAAGTTAAAGACCTCCAATGCATCATACAGTGGATACCATCAGAACTGACCATTTGATAAGAAAATTGCTTGGCAGTTCACAGAATGCTCTTTTCAAACTTCAGATAGAAAATACCTCATTGTGAACTGCACAGATACAGATATCCATCTGTATATATACTATACTGCAAGGGAAACTGTTAAGGCAAATTTAAATTAATTGAATTACCCGTGATTTCCAAACTGTTGCTTAATAGTCTGGCAAGATCATTCACATCTTAAATCAATTTTCCTGTTATAGATAGAACTGAAGAGTATTTTTTTTAAATTATTTTCATGGTACAATAAATTATATTTTTTATAATTTATGTGAGGACTGTCTATAATTAATTGTCTCATGTGATTTGCACATTTTCAAAAGAGAAACCTTTTTATAACAACAAAAAATGAATGATTTGCTTTATTTTTTAATTCAAGGGAAGAATTTCATTTCATCAGATAAACATTATTTCAGGCAAAAAATACTGCGAAAGGTTTTACAATGATAAATAATGCTTTTTTGTAACTTACCATTATTATCGTGAAAGTTCCATAGTGCTCTACAGGAGAGCTTGCACTAATTGGAGGAAGAATGTAAATAAATAATAATAATTCCTTACACTTGTATAGCACTTTTCTGGACGCTCGACTCTAAGCGCTTTACAGGTAATGTTGACTCCCCACCACGACCACCAATGTGCAGCATCCACCTGGATGATGCGACGGCAACCATACTGTGCCAGAACGCTCACCACACATCAGCTCTCAGTGGGGAGGAGAGCAGAGTAATGACACTGATTCAAAAATGGGGATTATTAGAAGGCGATTATTGGTAAAGGTCAGGGGGAAATTTGGCCAGGACAGCAGGTAACTCCTCTTTTCAAGAAATTCCCCAGGATTTTACATCACCACGGAGAGTCAGGACCTCGATTTTACGTCTCCTCTAAAGGACGGCACCTTTTTAACAGTATAGTGACCCCATCACTATACTGGGGCATTAGGAGCCACATAGACTGCAGAGTGAGCACCCCCTGCTGTTTCCACTAACATCTTTTCCAGCAGCAACCTTAGCTTTCACAGGAGTCTCCCATCCAGGTACTGACCAGGCTCACATCTGCTGAGCTTAAATGGGTTACTATACAGTAGCTGCTGGTGTGTCTTACTGAAGTCACTGCACTGAACATAAAGTATTACCTTCAGCTCCTGAAGTACAGAAGACAACTAATTATGACTGGAATCCAGATCCTGTTTCTCTTTTTCTTTATCCATTTTTTACATGATTGCTGGATTGTTGGGAGGTAAGGCTCCACAATGGAACTCACACTGGGTTTGTGCAATCTGACCCACATAAAGTTCTCCCTGAACTGTGTTATGGGGCTGCTGGCACATAGTGGCTGCTGTCTGCCACACAGGTGAGTGTAGTACTTTAGCAGTAGATGAAGTGGGCCCCTTCTACTGTATGAGTAAAGCACTTTAAGACTTTATTATAAAAGGTGTTATACAAATGGAAGGAATTATTGTAAATCAGTTGGTTATCAAAAAGAGAACCAAAGATTCTACCCTATCTAAGGTAGATGCTAAACAAAACCAGCAACCACATTCTTATGTATTCTGAGGTGCTGGTTTTCACTACATGCCCATGGAAAACACTGTGATGTTTTTGGACTCGAAAGGAAAACTCGAGTATTGTTGTCATCTTACTGTCCTAACCCTAACCCTAACTATTCTGCTGAAGAAAGGTAAGATGAGCCCAAATGTAGATTGTTTAAGCTCAAAGAAGTAGTTTTTGGAAGTAAGTAAAGTGTGAACTAAACATGATTCAGTTACTGTTATAAATCAAGACATGATCAAACAACAGGATGGATATTTTATTTTAATTTCTAACCAGTTTAAACATTAGTTACAGTCAATTACCTTAAGCTGAAGTTTTGTGTCGTAATTATTAGCTAAACGAAATAATGATTTTCTGCACTAGATGTAATAATGATAACTTACCTAATGCAGTCGGCAACATTCAGAACCGTCAGGTTTTTCAGAGCCCCTATTGCTTTGAGACTGATGTCAGTTATTTTAGGACAGTCAGCAGCATAGATGTGGCTCAGACAGGGTGAGCTCTTACAGAAAGCTTTCCAGCTTGTATCAGTCATGCGACTGTTACCTATGGACATGTGCCAAGATGTTACAAGCAATTCGTGACAAAAATAGTATTTTTTAAACCTTCTGTATCCTGCTGCAATGCAATAACTAAATAACTATAAATGAACAGATACATTTTTAGCTAGAACTTTTAAGGAGAAATGTACACAATCTAAACATAGTTACAGTATGTATGTAGATACAGTTTATGTATATACAATATTCACATATTTTATGTTACAATGATTAAATAAGGTCAACTTTGGTGCAAAATAAAAATATAATTTGAGCAAATTGACAGTAGCTACTACTAACAGAAAAAATGAGCATTTTTACTATATCTTTTCTAAATTCACTCAGAAAGCTGAATTTTTAACATTTATTTTAATCTATTGTGCATGATTACCATTTATATTTGTTGCAATACTCAGATTCAAATTTCATTTTCTTTCACGTTTCTTAAAAAGTATCCCAATTTTTATTTTTCACACACATACAGTATATATATAATACAAGCTAAGCAAATTGCATGTGCATTTTTAATTCAGGAGCACATGTAATGTTAATTAATTCTTTAATCTCCGGACACCAATGCAATCCAGAATAATCTTTTCCAACGATGATCTCATTCTGCCCCAGAGAGAGCTTTACAGGACCATTGATGGAAAGAGGTCGTCTGTAATCCAATGCTTCCCAGCAAAAAAAACCCCACCGGAGCTACAGAATTATTTGGAAATGGAACCCTTTCTTCTCCATGCTTATTTTATAGTTTACACTGCTATTTTCGTCTCAGCTCTTCTAGCCTTTTTTAAAACCCAGAGACAGAGAACGCCTTTCTGTCCTGGCCACCCTTATGCCCACTAGATTCTTTGCACACATTCACATAGACATGAAAGAAGAAGCGTCATCTCTGACCTTCGATCTTTATCTGTTTCAGCTTACAGACTTCAGCAATGGCCTTGAAGGCAGTGTCTGAGGGGTGAGGTGTGTCCAGCAGGGAGACTGTGCGAAGAAGATGGCACTTTGAAACTACTGCCTGTGAACAATGAGGGGAAACACTGATTATTAGACGCTTTTGTGAAAGTTCTCGGCTTTGCTTTAGGTACACATTTAAGTGCTTATCTCATTTTATTGCCATTTCGTTTCATTTCGCATTATATCATTACATTTACACAATGCATACAGTAATTAATTCCACAGGTGGTTAGGTTTTGAATTGTTAGCAAATTGCTCTAGAAAACATAAGGCATGAAAGGAGGCTTTAAAGACATGAAATGCAATGTTGTAGTTTCTTTCATTTAAAAAAAGACATTCTGTGCAGTGCTATTTCATTTCTGTATTCTGCAAATTCATCCAAGAAATATATTTTGAGATGCTGAGAGCACGGTATTTTTAGGACTCCAAGAATCACAAATAACTTGGATGTCAAGCACTGCAACAATACGAACAATAAGAACTCTGTGGGCAAATGCAGATGGTATAGTCAGCTCCTTTTAAGGTTCCTTCTGTGCAGATGACTCAAAAAATTGCTACTGTGTCTTTTATGCCCTGAATATTAGGTCAGCCTTCAGTATAGATACATACAGTGTACCGTATCAATAGTTATTCCAATAGTACATATGTCAGTAGTTATTTATACAGTATAAATATTTAAAGGTCTTATGTCATGAACAAATAAAAACAAATATTTATGATTACTGAAGTAGAGAATTAATTTTACTTTTTTTACAAATGATGAAGTTGCAGCATAACAGTAAGCTAATGTTGTCATAAATCATGATCTCTACCATGTCTTGCAAGGAATTCATAGCTCAACAGGTGATTTAAGATGCATTATACCCAAGTACTGTATTCCAAAATGTCATTGTTTGCCCTAGCATTCCTCCAATTTCTTATCATCCCAGAACTGAAGCCAAAGCTTGAACATGATAGTGGTTTTTAATTAAACCTGGCTTTGTGCCCATATACCCAAATTTGTTTTATTTTTCTTCATTTTCATTTCCTGCACTGCCAGACATAGCATTGCAAAGCATCCAAAGGGGAAGTATGTGTAACTTGGTTGTGCAACTGAAAAGTTAATCTTGCTGTCAACAAAAGGACTACACTAACTGGCTCTATATCCCTAGACTGAAAGTTCCTGCACGATACACGTACCTTATGAAAGTTTTATATAAACAGTCAGGCTCTTACATGCAAGATAATGGGTTGTGAGGGGGTTATCATTGTAATAAAACAAGAACATTATGTCTGTGGTGACAGGTATAGTATACATTATTTTGTTTTTTTACTAGTGGAAAGCCACAAATGCAAACATGAAATTAAATTTTAATATGATTTCTGGAAACAGAGAAAGGCAAATACACTTTGCAAATTAAAATGAATACACTTTCTATACAGTACTTCTTTTCAATAATCTTGAATTCATATTGAATTCTGTGTTTTTATTACAGCCTGCCTGAACTCCATAAGTGCAGGGTAAGGGGCTTTACAGACCTCAGCATACAGTATGTAATACTAAAGATCATTTCACTACTTAATCTTTACATACTTAGTATGTGTAAAGATAACATTCTCATGAACAAAGTTGTTTGAATTGGGATTCCATATTCTCACAGGTTATAACAAGAATATTGCACAAGATGGATTAAAACTGTGGAAATGGCATTCTTTGTTTTCCCATTAGAGTTTCATTGATCAATAAAACAGATTATTTCCAGTAAATACTGCATGTTGCTGTGCCAGCAGAAGATTCTGCCGAAGTTGTCAAAACAATACAAGTATCATTCTATGTTGGCAGATATCCACAAAAAGATCTTGAGAAACTCAAAAAACATGTTGAAATAAAAGCTCATGTCCAAATGAAATAAGTCCCTTTGTTCACTACTCAATTATTTCATTTTCTGCAAACCAGAGTTTTGTAAGCTATCTGGCCATATCTTTTGCCTCAGATGCTGAAGACCATACTACAGTATATCTAAAATATTACAAACTCCAGTACACTCTTCTTCAATCTATACCACACATAAACTAATTCTAAGATAGCACATTGCATTTAAGTGATGGATTTAATCAGACTACCACTACTATATGTTATTAGTTTGGTCTTGTCCTAAGATTGTTGCTGTTCTGGATCTCTGTTTTTGACAGCTTTCAGGCTTCCTCTTGAGCTCACAAACGTCTTTTGATGCAGTATTTTGGAATAGTTTTGGGAGATATCCAGCTATCCAGGTCACAGGCAAATATCCTGGCATTTTCAACCCTCTGGCCATTGGAAGCAGTCTGCCACATCCAGATTTAGATAAGATCACTTTATTAGCAATATACAAATTCTTGCATTAAGAATTTGTCTTTTCGAGTACTCCAGCTTGCTCTCCATGAGACACACAGACAGGGAGAGAAGCTTGGGGTCAGAGCGCACGGTCAGCCATTTATACGGCGCCCCTGGAGCAGTTGGGGTTAAGGGCCTTGCTCAGGGAACAACAGAGTAGGATTTCTCTGCTGGCCACGGGATTTTAACCGGCAACCTTATCCATATCCGTATCCATATTGTGTAAGACACGTACTATACTGTAATGTGCTTTCTCAACACAGAAAAAATAAAAATCATATTATGGGGCTCCACAAACACAATCTACCTGTATATGACTATATCGCAGGCTTGACTGGGTCTAAGCAGGGATATGTCACTTCTGTAACATGCTGAATTCCACTGAGTGCTGTTACTCTGGGAGGAAGGGTTTTATATAGTCTATACTGACTAGGCACAATATCATCTCCTTTCTTTACAAAAAGCAATATCTCACAAAAATGGGTATGCCATCAACCTCAGCAAGCTGCCAAGCCTAAGTTGTTGCAAATAGTCCAGCTAGAACATGTGAGATTTTTAACGCCTGCAAATGAAAGAGCACAGTTAAATAAGCTTGATGTTGCTGAAGAACACTGAACCTTCTGGCTACTGCAATACCACTGGAGACCACTGCTTTAAGAAACTCAGCAGTAAAATGGTAAGGGAAAAAATTATATTTCCATGGTACTGTATGCTGTGAAAGAAATGTTGGAAAGCAGTGTCTTACATTAATTTAAGTTTGTATCAACTTCATTCTTACCAGTATACAGCTGTCTGTAAGAGTTGGCATGTCATTAAATTCCAGGTGCTGAATCCATCCACATCCCTCTGCTATGTATCTGAATCCCTCCACTGAGATCTAGGAAGACCGAAAGCTGTTTCATTTGGAGCAAGGAATACATCCGGCTGCCAAAATTAGACACGTCACGTGTGTATGGCTGCTTTTTCCTATTAGTATAGACTTTCCTTTCATTTAAATGTTTATGAGAGATTAGAAAATATTCTGAGATGGAGCAATGGAGAGTAGTTTCTTAGACTGAAAAAAATTACAGAAGAGATATACTATAATGTCAAGGCCTGTTGGAAAAAAAACAGCTTTTTTGTCATCTGTCTAAAGCTGTGTTAATTTTCTGGCAATGCAAGTAATTTGTAAAAGCAGTTATTGCCTTTTGCCAATTCACATCGCCTGAAAGTTCAGAATTATACTGTATTAGTAGCCCTCAATGAACAAGAATCTTAAAATTAGTTCTGCATAATTTAAAGGTTAACAAAGAATGTTATTATGTAATGTTCCATATTGTTAAGAAAGATACACATCTTCAAAGAGTTGCATTGTGAAATTAACCTGACATAAAGAGCAGCAGGGATTTGTTCCAGTTTTTTCCATTTTATCTGCTTCCCTGCTGATTCAGATTCAGAGGTAATTTCTCTCAGCTGCTTCACCTAGTGTATCTTAAATGTAATGATTGTAAGTTGGAAGATTGGAGCTTCAGTCTACAAATCCCATTAAAGCACACAGTCTTCACGGAAAAGGGCCAGCCTGGTGGTCTTCCTGTCAGGCTACAGTATGTGTCCAGGGTTCAGCTCTAAATGCAATGTTTCATACTGCAGCTCTCTCGAGCACTTTATCTTAATGCAAGCATTTTCGGACCTCTAAATAGTTTAGACCATGAACAAGTGAAAAGTAAAACTAGACTGTTGAAGCACTCTTAGACCTCTATACCCTGCTCTACCAGAAATTGTGCTCCTTGTTGTTAAATTGATAATAATTTTGTAATGTTCTGTCAATCAGTTTTTATCCGTTCCACTTTTGATGCAAAGTTTCTGTTATCACTGAGACAGTCCTATAAGCATGTCTACTAGTGACCCATCAGAGAAAACGACAGAGGTCTTGATTTTGTTTTGTGGATGGAAGGCATCCTGAAAAACTTGACACCCCAATCAAAATAGGTACAGAGCCCATACAATGTCCAGTATGTTCTAGTATAATGACCTTTATTATCATTTTTATCACTGATACTCAGGCAACCAGCAAATAATTTAATCTATAACTACATGTACAGTAATTTCTATCTGAAAAGGGAAAAATCAGGTATTACTGCTTGAATGTTGTTCATGAAACTATCCATCCATCCATTTTCTAACAACTTTATCAAAAACAGGTCAGACGCACAGACATGCCAATCCATCACAGGTCAGACACACAGACAGACACACACACACTCACAACAGGGTCAATGTTCCTTAAAGCCAATTAACTATAGTATGTTTTTGAACTGTGGAAAGAAATCGGAGTACCTGGAAGAAACTCAAATGAACATAAAAACTCTCCACACAGATAGGAATCGAACCCAGTGAATCGGCACTGTGAGGCAGCAGAGCTGACCATTGCACAACCATCCCAATCTTGGTAGGACTAATTTCCTTAATTTTATTTCAACCTTTTAATACACAAATACCATCTACTGTATGTTAGCTAGTTTAATGTTAATCAAAATTACTTGTAAGAATGTAAAGGTCACATTTATTATTTTTCACTATCCCATTAATTCTTTGTTACACTTCTACAGAAGACTGGGGTGCACAGAGGATTCAGGATGATCTAAACAATTAACAAGGGATGTGCTGAGCTTAATCTGTATTGGTCAATTTAAAAGAACATAAGAACTGTTAAAAATGAGAGATGGCTCATCTAATCTGTTTGTTTGCTAATCCAGCTGTTTTTGAAAGAAGGCAATGCTTTCAACAACTTGCCTAGCCCCCTTATTCCTTACTCACACAACCCTTCGTTTAAGGAAATGCCTCCTATTCTTAGGATTAAATGCACTTGCACATTTTCAGTTTCTGGTCTATGTTTTACTGTTGATTTTGAAGAAGAATAAATAGGGTTAACTCTGTCATTGCCTTTGAGGATTTTGAATACTTGAATTAGGTCCCATTAATTTTCTAGCTTGTCAGTTTAGGTCATTCCTTTAAGTAATGTACTGTATCTGGACTGATACCAGAGCAACAGTATTTGTTTTTGGAACATGTTGACCGAAATTGCAGACACTATTCTAAATGAGGCCATACTAGCTTCTTAACTGGAATGTCACTTGATTTATATTCTATGCATTTAACCCACCTGGATAAAAGGAACACCTATACAAGAATGCTGTTAATTGACTTTAGCTCAGCATTTAACACCATCATACCCATAAAACTTTCTACCAAACTCAGGGCTCTAGGTTTAGATACAACCCTCTGCAGCTGGATCCTAGACCTCCTCACCAGCAGACCCAGACTGTCAGGATTGGCAACCTCACCTCCAACACACTCACCCTTAACACCGGTGCCCCTCAAGGCTGTGTGCTCAGCCCACTGCTTTACTACCTGTTCACCCACAATGTTGAAAATATGTGAATAATGTGTCAGCATAAACTTCCATATCTTTTTCATACATATCTTCTAATAGAAGCTCAGTGTTACCCATTTTCTATATACAGTTTTTGATTTTGATAAGTGATTGTCATACTTTTCACCTGTCTATGTTAACTATCATCTGCTAGGTGTTTTTCCAGTCTTGAATTTTATCTAAATATTTTTTATCTTTCTTTGTTGTTTCCACAACCTCTACAAATCCTCCTTTTTCTAATTCTTTGATCTAGAATCATTTATATAAATTAGGAAGAAAAGTGGTCCTACTACTGATCCTTGTGGTACTCCAGTAATTATACCACCCCCATACATCCGCTTCATGGGACTGTTACTGGGCAGCGGAGCACTTTTAGCAACAGACTGCTCCAGCTACGGTGTTCAAGGGAACGTTTCCGCAGGTCTTTCCTCCGGGCGGCTGGCAGGGTGCATAACGCTGCCCTAGACTAGGACTGTTAGCCCTTCATTTGCTCGTCTATCGACAGCATGTTTGCTCCATTGTACTTTTTGGACAATCAGTCTGTATAAACCTATGCACATTTTGCACATATTTAATTGTTTTTACAGAGACTATAATCATCACATTTTGCACACACCTATGTATTTATTTTTTATTTATTTTTATTTATTTTGTTGTCTTTTGTTTTATAACTATTCTGATGTCTGTTTTTGCTTGTCTTGGGCTGGACTGCTGTTACACATCAATTTCCCTACAGGATTAATAAAGTATTATCTATCTATCCATCATTCACCACATACTGTATCTGTACTCTCTGTTCAATGCACTAACCATTACTTTAACTGAAGCAAATGCCTTACCTAGAATGACTAGTGACTGCTATTTGAAAATTAAGCCTTTATGACAAACTTTATTAAAAGCCTTCTGAAAATATATAATTTCAAAACAATCTGTAAATATCCCATATCACATACTGTTGTTCATTACTGCTGTTGATTGTTTAAAGATCTCAAAAAAGTCAGTTAAGCAAGACCTGCAAACCCAAAAAGAAAATGGTCTTCACTTGGCTTGTACTGTAAATTCTCCCTCTAAGTATATTTAGATTTCCAGGAAACCATATTTTTTAACATAAATAAAGCATGATGTTATTGAAATTAGAGAAACATACAGTATGCATTTATCAGGACACAGATAAAAACAAAACAAGTGTTTCATCATATGAGCTATTTTCAGTAAATTCTATTTAAGGTTTTAAGGATTTTTAATAGGTGTTTTTATGTGGGCACAGCAGTTGTTTATAGTGTTTGCAACCTAAATCATTTCAAACTAAAACAGGCCACTGTAAGCACAAATACAGGCATCTATGAGTTAGCACTGGATGGCAAACATATCATTGAAGGCAGAATTACTCAACTTCCTGTATAAATTACACAAACAGAAGCACAGTATAGGGTTTTTTTGCACAGTAATCTGTTATAATTATTATGTATTATTCCTGTGTTAAGTTATTGTATATTTTAAAAAATATTATATATTTTTTATAACCATTGAATCCTATTCTGCACAGTTTATGCAAGAAAGAAAATGCTTTCATAGTGCAGATAGATATCTAAAAACCCCAAAAGAATAAGTAAAATATATTTTGCATGGAAATACTACTAGTGGAAGCAATATAATACAAACACATAAAAGCTTTTTAAATGTTTATAACTAATGTCTTACCATTTACTCTACAGCTGAAGAGCTCCGTTAATGTTACAGAGCAGATCATTCTGAGAGATGTATCAACAGACGAGGGAAGAATTCCTTATTAGGTCCAGAGCTAACAAATACACATGAGCTTTAGACTGGTACACATCAAAGCATCATCAGCACTGTCTTTGTTTCAAGCAGAGGCCCACTGGAGGAAATGTTTATTAGTAGACAAATGTAACCACATGAAAACAAACACTCCATCACAGATTTTGCATGTGTTTTTATTTAATGTGTTTTATGTTGGATTTTTTTTAGGCTAAATAAAAGTACAAAAACATTCACTAAGTACAAAATCATTCATTAAACCAAATGGTTGTTTACAAATAGAATTAAATGTGATGTGGCTGTTGACAAATAATTTAAATAACAACTCTTTTGAAGGGCCTTTGTAAGTGTCACACTGCAAACTGAAATTCTCAAACTGTAACAGTGTGCGTGTCCTGCTTATATTACAAAGAGTAAAACTGTCCAACACCATATTTCTGCAAGAATATAATAAGTCTTAAAATGTAATGGCAGGTTACTAGTAATATTAATAATCTTTGTTCCACTTTTATAGTAATATTGGAGGTGATAGTGTAGTGAAAACAAACAGGTAGGAATCGTATTAATATTTACGGGATTATCATCTGTCTTGGCTTTTTTGCATTGAGATTGGAAGGATATGCAAGGTGCTCCTAACATTAACAGACCTATTCAGAAAGCTGTACTTTGAAAACTGTGCAATGTACTCCAATATAAATGGTCACGATAACAAACAGGACAGTGGAGAACATGCTCTCATGGATAAGAAAAGCACAAACAGGAGGGAAATTACATTTCTGGTGTCCAACAGAAGTTACACCAGATGTTATAAAGACCACCAGAACATCTGCTGAGTAATGCTCTCTTGTTATATATGGCATACTGTATATATATGAGTCACATGCATATCAAACTACATTCCTACATTTCGCATATTTTTTACAAAACAGCTGTTCAACTAACTTTAAAAGTACCCTTATCTACCCTGTACATAGCCCAAATAGGACAGCAGACATTCGAGTGTCCAGCACTTGCAAAATAATTGTTTCGTTTCAATGGACAAACAATTTGCATGTCAGGACAGCTACAGACCACCACTAGAGTTTCCTCTGACTTCACCCTGCCCAGGCAGAGCTTGCCATCTTTCAGATCCTATCACATGTGCTTATGCTTCACCTCTCCAGTGGTGTGGATGAGATGGGCCAAAGGTGGGCTTTTCTACACACGGTGTTGGGATCCCACTTGGCCAGTGAGCACTGGCCTTCACTTTCCTCGAGCTTCAGAGGTTAAACTCATCTTATGATGTGAGCACGCATTAGAGCACTTAGATTGGTCCATGTGATCTTGCACGGGCCATAACTATTCTTACTCAAGCCCATCAAAAGCTTTCTTGATGTCCACCAAAAGAATGGCACAGGAGGAGGGCAACAGATGTTACTAGACAGGAAGTATCCATCTCCTTCTGATTGTTATGCCTCTGGCCAGTGTGATAAGTTAGCAAACAGCTTGCCACCAGAGTAAATCAAAGGGACAGATGGATAGCTTAGACAAAGTGTGATCTGTATTTTTTCAATAACAGGGATATAACAGGAGTAGTAGCATTCTGGAGTACAATTTTATATGGAATATAGCCAAAAAAGCAAATTCTTTGGAATTCTTTGGAAAAAGGGATAAATACACATCAAATATATATCTGCCACACTCAGATTAGAACTATTGATGGCAGAGACTAGAACCTCATTCCTTCAATTGCAATCAGTCAGATTCACGATTCATGACAGTATTTATGCCTGAACTCAAAACTGCATCAAACAAAGTGTGCTCCAAGTTGTAGGGGTATATACTGACACCAAAGCTTTTTTTTGCCTGACTAACATACTGTAGTGATCTCCTCACTATGTACATCTCTGGTGGAATGTGTCTGAACCATAATCTGGAAGGAAACACAGAAGCAATCAGTCAGTTGAGCACATAGGCACAGATTGCCTGGTTTCTTTGAAAGTAACATATCATGGAATGGAAAGACTGGAAAATAGACACTTAAAGTTTGTCACAGCCTTCCAAAGAACGTTCTTCATAAATCCTGTGCACTCTTTCCGCGCAGATACTATGCTGAGCCAGAATTGGAAACAACAAAGGAGATTACTTTTAACAAGAATCTGATAGGATCTGCACACAGTATTGTACAGTTTAGAGAAATTTTGTACTCAGTATTCTTTTTGTGCATGTTATTCACTCATGTTAAATAGTTGACATACAGTATGAGTTTTTAAGTCCTCCGGAGCAGCCATCCCATCCAGTTTAGGTCAATCAAAATCTCCCAGTTTTTTCTTAGCTAGGGAAGAAGTCTGCCTGTTACTGCTTCCATCTCAAAAGGGTCTCAAACAAATAAAATTATATTTTATAAAAATAAACAATTGTGGGGGATAACAATAATGAGTGTAAAAGGGTCACTGGCTCAAGGCTACTTTCCAGGTATACTGAAGATACAAATCCCACCCACCCCTCTTCGGAAGAAAATAATAAGTGCCTACCATATACAGAACAAACTCTACAGTGGAAAAAGCACAGACATTGTCTATTTTTCTTACATATTAGGAATTTTCATGAACCAAAACACTGAATTTAATAAAAAAATCAAAGCAACTGATTTTTAGCCAAATAAAATTAAGACTACAATTTAATTTTAATTACTTAAATACTGCTCTAATTCTTTTCCCATTTTTTAATCATCCTAACTTGTCTCTTGCTTCTGAAACCAAGAACCAAAGTGAAAAACAGTCAAATTACTTTATCTAAATGTAACTGACTAAAAAAATGAAAGGAATTCAGTCCTTTGAAAGCTTTTTTTTTCAAGCTTCTTTATCTTCACAGAGGGACAAAACAGTTCAGGGGGCCATGGTAGTAGTCTGACACCAATCCAAAACCCCCTGGAATTACCGCCTCAGTTTCCAAAGAAAACTTGAGTCGCTGTAATTTAAAACCAGTTGCAGCCTCCCTGCTCTGGAGAAACCCTCTCGGCTTGAGCTGCAGTCAGTCCTCTCAGGGAAAGCGCTGGGCTCTCATGACAGAACAAAGAGAAACAAAGGACCAACCTGTGTGCAGCCTGAAAGGTCCAAGTAGATGAGTTTGTGGCAGCCTTTTCCTGTGGCCAGGTACTGTAATCCTTTATCTGTGAACTTCCTGCAATAAGCTAGGCTCAGGTACTGAAGATTCAGGCAACACCTTCCAAAACACAGCACAGGTTTATGGAACAAAGTTAGAAACCAGCAAGTATAAAGTTTTTATTAAGTAGTTTCCTAGAGCTGGAGATTTAAGTTTTAAAATGCAATCTTCAAGCACAAATATAATGTATTTTGTCATGTGGTTAGTACTATTTTGCTGGAATGTTTTAAAACATTGTATTGTATGCTTCAAACTTTGAACACAACATTTTAGGAGGTTATGACATTTCTAATTTACTAGCAATGTTTTATTTTCTGGAGTAGATGCTATTAATTGAAAGTTAGCCGGTTTGTCATGAAGATTAACACAGAGCAGAGCAAGAGAATCAAAAAAAGGACTCAGAAAGCATTTTCAGAGAAGACAGACGAATAAGTGAGAGTTGAAAATGCTCTCTAGTGTGCTTTCATGAACTCTAGAGGCAGAACAGAGACCCTTTGTTGACCACTGAATGTGGTCTGAAAATACACAGAACAGGCAATAGATGTTTCACATTGCAGATATTTTTCATCTATGCACAGTTGTTGTCAATATACAATTCAGCATGTTCCAAGACTTCTTGATGAATGGAAGCATTTTATCGTTCATTCTTACTTTTTTTCTTCCCTTTCTAAGCCTCAAGTGTTTCTAATTAACTGAGATGCCTGTGAGAGCAGCTGCTTTGGACTGTGCTGTTGAATGTTACTCTGTCTTGGGAACTATTCCAAAATTAAAGCACACCGTGGAGTACTGCCACCATTATCAAAGGTCTTCATAAAAAGACTGTGATATTATGTGAATTAATGAAATAAGTAGTTAATTACTCAAAGACAGGTTTTGCTCACATTGGAGCTATAAACATTTTCATTTCAAGTATCATCATTTTATACAATATAATCTTGCTGAGCTAGCACCTTTTAAATTGCCTTGCTTAGATGGTAGTAGTTCAAGTAGGTACTGTAGCTGCGTCAGCATGAGTAGGCTGCAAAGGAACAAGTAAAGGTCTATTCCATGCTGAAAGGAGACGAAAGGAAACACGTTTCGGCTGTGGAGTCTTCTTCGGGTGTGAGAAAGACAGGGGACTATAATCAGAGATTACATAGCATAGGATAGGAGAACAAAAGCCGGGAGTGTAGAGGAGGCAGGAGCAGGAGGGAGGCACTCAGGTCGTGCAAAGTCGAGAGAGGTGGAGAGACGTGTGAAGTCGAAACCTGCAAATTAATGAACTATTCAGCCAAATACAAGAGTAACATTCCTTTTTGTCACAGAACTTTCTTTAATTAAATCTTCAGGATAAAGAGCAAAACAATTTTTCTTTTGCTTTATTTCTTCAGTTACCTTGCCAGCACCCTAAGAGTGCCATTTGTCACACCAGTGCAGGACACATTTAGGTACAGAAGTGTTGGACAGCCCTCAAGAACTAATCGCATGGTTTCATCCTGTAGAAATTAAAAAGAATCCACAAATGTGTTAAAAAAATACCGTAACACTCCACTGATGAAACTCATGAAAATTCATGAAAATGAATAAAATCAATCAATAAGTGATCAATAAAGAGTCACATTTTTTATTCTTAGAAATTAATGGGATGCAACTGAATGTTTAGAAAATTAAAATCATTTTTGAGTGCCAGGGTTAAGAAAATATATCATTTCCGAAATAAGAACTTATAATTAAGCATTCTAAGAAAAAATCTAAATTCTAAATAAAAGAATCAGAAACTTTCTATCCGATAGCATTCCAAGCATGTTTTGCATTATTCATACATTACAATAATTTGGTTTCTTTGATAAAGAGCAAAACAGTGGTTAATGCAATCAACTAAAACACTGAAGAATGCATCTTTTTAACTTAGAACCAAGTAAAGAAAGAAATATGTCAGTCAATATACATAGCCAGTAAAAAGGCTTCCTCTTATGAAACAACATACTGTTGCTATTTGATTAAATGATAAGCTAGTCTGACAAGAAAAAGATATGCCTAGGAAAAGACCAACTTTAAGGAAGTCGATAAGTAAGTGAAGTCCTGTACTACCAAAAGTATCCAATATTATTTTCTGGTTTTAATAAGGAAATCATTTTGTATATTCTGTGGTCAGTAGGAATAAATAAAAGTACACTGATGTATAACTTATATATGAGTAATATATAATTCATATATATAGCTATTTATTAAATATCAATTGTTCTCATTATTTATTATAGAACAAATATGTTTTTCTACACAGTTAAAAGTCATTCAGCACTCTGCCAGATAAAGTACAGTAGCTTATTGCTGAAACTACAAAAATAGACTGTTAATGTCTTCCATGAGCAGTCCACAAGGAATCTTGTTTAGGCAGGCTTTTTTCTTATTCAATAAACTTATTCCAAATGTTTGAGAAGGAAAAACGCAATCTCCTTGTTCAAATGAATGCTACAAAATCAAATCATTGGTATTGGTATCTATTTGCATTACTTACATTTACACTTGTACACTCTGACAAATTCAGGTCCTGTAGATTTCTGCATTCACCTAGGAAACAAAATCTTCACTTTCACAGGTATACATGCGGCATTGTGCACATATAAACTATACTTCATTTAGGGTATATAAAACCTCTGTTAAATTCAATTTAAACTGGAAAATTGATTGACCTTGTTTAACAAGCTGGACTTTGGCTTCCAGCCTATACAGTACTGTACATATTCCGAAACACAGCTACTCCCAATTGTTTGGCAAAGAACAGATTGGTTTCAAGAAATCTTTTTGAGATCATAAATAGTTGTGGTCAGCCTGCTTCTTTCCCTGGTCATTCTTCAAAACTAACAACTGAAATTTGTAATGACCATGAAATTTGTCGTGATAAACGTTCTGCCATGATTCTGCTCTGGAAATTGTGGTGATTTCCAGTTTTGAGGGAGCAGACATAAAAATTAACATTAAGACTACTGACAATTTCCAAATCTGGCTTTTGTAGCACAAATTCTAGATCTTATGGTCAACCTGTTACAACGGCGCCTAGGAAGAAATGAGTTACAGTATATGAAAAATTGGAATCCATGTTTAGTGCAAAGCACAGTGAGGACCTACAGCTATAGTCTGGGTTGTAATGATCTGTAATTGGCTGTGACTTCTGTTTGCTTGGCCATTCTTGTATTGCTCGATCTGAGTACTATTTGTCGTTTGCAATATCCTCCCTAAACATCTCAAAGATCTGACTGTCATTACAAACAATGTTCTCTGCAGGTTTGAGTCTCATTTGTGCAAAAGGAAATAGTTTTGTATCACTTGCACATTACACCCCTGTCTCAACTGCTGTTTGTTCTGGTATGCCTCACAGGTCTATACTGGGCTCTCTCTTTTTTGTAGTCTACTGTAGATGTTACTTTCCACAATGGATATTATTTCCAAGCTGGCAACATTTAAGTCCTAGTACATTCTAACTCTGATATTCAAATGGAACTTGCCAAGACCATGATATTGTACACAGATACAAAAACTTTTTAACAGAGGTTATATTTTTAGTAATCAGCAGATTACTAAATTTAAAGGTCTGAGTTTGTTACATGATAATCAAGTTTAGTTCATAGTCAGAAAGCTTAGTGTATCTTTTGATTTCAATCAAAGAATGTAAGAAAGGTTACAAATGAGAAAAAGGCCCGTCAGCCCATTCCACTAATCTGTCTCATGTTGAGAGACTTGTCTGTGCCTGTATTTTAACTTTAATTGACTTTTTTTAACACTTTGTTGACCAGAATCTCCAAACATTCAACTCAACTCCAGTATGTACAAAACATTTCCTCACAAAATCTAAGGAATGAATACAAGGCAGAAAATCGTGCTTTAGAAACAAAATTGTATTTGATTTGATAAACACGACTATTGAAATTTTCCAGACCTGTCAACCTAAAATAAGCTGATTTGCAGAAATGTTGAAATGACTCAGTCTACAGCTACACTCAAGGCCTTAAAAAAGGACAATCTATGTATACATGTACAGTACTGTACAAAACCCCTAAGGTTATGGTCACCAGAAATCGTGGTACATACTTTTTCTTTACAAGACATATCATTTTCGTGTATACTCTTTATAATGATACATCATTTATAAAGATACATCGTACATCATTTATATGATACAAACAACAGTATCTGACTGTTTTTTTTTTCTCTCTGCAGGGCCTGCAGCTGCATCTTGTCTTTACTGAAGCCAGCTACTTAGTGTTATCTTAACTCAGATTTCAGAGGGATTCCTATACCATTCCAGTTGTCACCGTTAACCTATCCCAGCTGGATCTCAGGATGCAAGTCATTACAGCTCTGATGATCCTCCTCCTCCTACAGTCCGCTGAATGCAGACGGGCCAGGAATGGCATCACAAGGAACAGGGCGCGTGGCAAGTGGGGCACAGCAAAGCGATCCGCTGCTAATGATTGCAAAGATTACGTCGAGGCTGGTGATAAGTTCCTGGACTGTCAAGATAAACATTTAACTCATGTTTTCCCTGGCTGGCCGGACGATACTGTTCATATGCTGCTGGCCAGAAACAAGATCAGAATACTGAGGGACAACACATTTGTACAATTTGAGAAACTGAAAAGCCTAGACCTGCAGCAGAATGACATCAGAGTGATCGAGGAACACGCCTTCAGTGGTTTGAACAAACTGACCACGCTGCTGCTGCAGCACAACCAGCTGCAGGTGCTGAAGGAACAAGTGCTGATCGCTCTCCCTCAGCTCCGATACCTGCGCATTTATGACAACCCCTGGAGCTGTAAGTGCGAGCTGGACAGCCTAGTCAGGATGCTGCAAGTCCCAAGCAACCGCAATCTAGGAAACTACGCCCAATGTGCAGAGCCTGCTAACCTGAAAGGACGGTATCTGAAAAAGATCAAACCCGAATTGCTGTGCCCAGAGCTGGAGGTGAACATCACTGATGAACAAATACCAGAACCCGTGTCTGCTGCTAAAAAAGAGCCTGACTCCACAACATGTCACACCTACATGTTCCCCAAGCCTCTTCTGGATTGCCACAGTAGAGGTGAGTTGCGAAATCAATTATTGTTAACGAATTTATTGAAGTGTACGGATGAAAATAACATTAAGTAAATGTATCTAATTAAATTACAAGAATAATAGATTAAATAACATCAGCTTCCTTTTGTTACACCAATTATAAAATGTTTTTTTCCTTATTTTACAAGCACATATTAAAAGAACTCACAAAAGAAAGTTAACAAACAGGAATAGTCTGGTCCAAGTTCAGCTGGCTGTGTATGATTGAAGCTACTTCCAGACATTGAGCATTGGAAATCAATTGAGCACTCTTTAAACAGACAAGAACAGTCAAAGCCCAACAGAACGTTGCCTTAGATCTTTTCATTCTGTGAGGAGGAAAAGAATAAGGTTCATACTTTTCATAGGGCTGTGACCAACTATAAGGAAAAAAACATTACCAGTGTATCAATATATCATACTGACATAAACACAAGATGCAGCTGCAGGCCCAGCAGAGAGAGAAAACAGCTATGTACTTTTGTTATTATCATAGATAAAGAGTATATACAGTAGCCCAAAAATGTGGTGGCTTGTAAAGAAAGGATATGTTTTACCATAATTTCTAGTGATTGTTATCTTAGTGCTTTTGTATGTGCTGTTATGAATGTACTGTAGATGAATTTGTTTAAGCTTTTAGCGTGGTTATAGACATTTATCCCATTGATACAAATTGATATTGATCAAATTCAAAATTGAATAACATCTGCAGGATTTGCAGCACATATTTAGAAAATGTCTTTAATTTATTAATGTAGGTGTTAACCTTAGTGTTTGTGTTTTTTTAATAAAATAGTAATGTGCCCTACACCATAAAAAATGACCCTTTGAGACCAAAACCGGTGGAAAAGTTAAACCAGTAAATAAGCACACCACGTTTTGCAAATAATGGATAAAACCGAAAATAATATTGAGTAATAGTTATTTTTTGTCTTTAAAAATATATTTATAATTATGTACAGAATTAATTAACGCACAACTCAATATATTGATGGCACCAACTTTACATTTACTGCACTGCAAGGGAACACAAACCATAATTTCACCCAACATGGATTTTAATAAAAACAGAGGCAGGTAAGTCAAGTGAGTTGCAGAGGCGAGTCAATTGAGCCACAGCAGGGTAGATACAGTGCTTTGCAGAAGTATTCAGATCTTTGCACCGTTTTCACATTTTATTGTTATAAAGCTGGCAGTCTTAACTTTTTGAAGCCGCAGTTAATATTTTTAAATATACTACATACTTCGCACATTCAAAGCAAAAACAAAAAGAAGCAAATAGGAAATTAATATGAAAGAAAACATGAAATGTCAGAATTTGAATTCAAACCCTTAGTTCAGGTAAACCTAAACTTATTAAAGTTCCTTAATAAGCCACAAAATGAGTTGTACGGCCTATGTTTGTTTGTAATAATAGTGGTTCTCATGATTTCAGAATAAAACCACCTGTCTCTCAAAGGCTCCTTGGTCAAGTACTGAATTTCAAACAAAGATTCAACAATGAAGCCTAAGGAGCTTTCAAAGCAAGTCAGGGAAAAAGAAATTGAGAAACACAGATCAGGAGAAGAAAAATATTGAAGCCTCTGATAGCCTCCCTGTGAGCACTATCTACTCAATGATCAGAAATGGAAGGTCCACTATACCACCAAGACACTGTCTAGATCAGGCCATCAGTCCAAACAAAGCAGCCAGGAGAGGAAGAAGGCGGTTAGGGATGTCAGTGTGAGGCCAATAACAACTTTGAAAGAGTTACAGAGCTCAATGACTAAGATGAGAGAAAAAGTCAGCAATATTTCAATATCAAATGAATAAACAAAGCAGGCCTGAATGGCAGAGTGGTAAACTCATCTCAAATCCCACATGTGGTTTGAAACAAATTATGTAAGTGATACTCTAAAAAGGTGGCGAAAAGTCTTCTGGACAGAGAAGATAAATTTGGAACGTTTTTGTGTGACTGCAAAGTGTTACTTCTGGCTCAAAACACACATAGCTCTTCACCCAGTCAACACTGTGCCAACAGTCAAGCATGGTGGAAGCATCATGCTATGAGAATGGTTCCCCTCACCATGGAATGGAAAACTTTTGAGATTGAAGGACAAATACATGGAGCAAATACCTTCATCAAACCTGTGTCTATTAAAGTCTATTAAGAGCCTACAAAGACATAATATTGGGGCAAAAATTCATCATTAAACAGCACAGTAATCCAAAGCACAAGACCAAAGACAAACTGGGTTGGCTGAAGAAAAAGAAACTGAATTGTCTTTGACTGGCCCAATCACAGTCCAGACCTGAATCCTATTAAGAATCAGTAGAAAGACTTCACAATTGCTGTCAATAAGAGATCTTCAACCTGCCAGGTGTGCAAAATAAGTAGATATTTAGCCAAAAAGATATTGGGGCTTCAACTGGTGCCAAAGGTGCTTTTGCCAAATAGTGAGTTCATGGGTCTGAATACTTTATGTAATCCATCTATATATACATATATACTTTTCTATTTGGGTATTGCTGCTATTTACTGTAACATATCTTAACCTTTGATGTTTTCAGTTTCAGCACCCAGGTTTTGAATAAATTATAATGTTTGACAAAAGGTATATGGATCTTTTTTAATTTAATAAAATCGGACACCACATGAAGGGTCTAAATACTTTTGTAAGGCACTGTATCTAGGTCTATAGCGTGGAGCTCAATCATGCAATCTGAACACTGCCTATTTAGTAAAGACTACTTTAGCAAGACTAGGGTAATCTCCAGATAGTTCTTCCTCTGTAATCTTAATATGGATGTCAGTTATGTGCTGCTTGTGGATTGTTTCATATTAAAATTGACAGATCACTTTTTACACAACTGTTTTAAACAGGGGGTATATTGCTAAAAAGCATGCTTGGAATTAACACATGGCTATAATATATTTGAATTCATTTGATATTTTTTAGTTTGTTTTTTCAGGTCCTGAATTACAACCTTTACTGCAGAATATTTAAAGAGCTTATTTGAAATAGTACAACTTATGTCAAACTAAAATATACAAAATACAATAATTGCCATTTTTGCAAAATTATGGTTTCTATTCAGATGAGTCAGTATATGCTAAGACCCCTAGCCACAACTGAACCATAATGTTAAAAACTTGAAATGTTACATGCACACCCCAATGTCAGCATTAGAGAAAGTGTAAAATTTGATATTGTTAAAGTTCCAGTAACAACATCTGGAATATCTTAAGGGAATTTCATAATGACCATATTACCAATATTAGAATGCCTTCTAAGCAATTTTCTTGCCAAAAGTATTTTACACATCCTGAATGCACATCCCTGGGTTTTACATGTAACAAAAGATGAATGTAATATACAAGATGTCCTTTTTCTGATTCTGTGATCCCCCATACAGTATTGCTACTTTCCTAAACTCAAGACAATTTTAAAGCCATAAGATGGCTCAGGCTTACAAGACTTAATCATAAATGTTGTCTGGATCCAAACATTACTGAAGCCATTTAAAAAACAATTTTGCTAAACCATCTTACTGCCAGATTAATTGAATTAAAAAATACTTAATGCCCAAATCCAGATGCAGCATTTCCTTTTAAAAAGAAAAGCATATACTGTCTTCTGCAACTTTTGCTTAAATATCTTTTTACACTTTCTGTTCTTGAATGTGAAAGAGGGTCTGTATTCTGCTGCAAATTCTTTGCAATCTTCTGGCAAATTCCTTAAACTTTCTTATTTCAAAAGCCCTCATCTAGTCTTGTCTGTAGGGCCAAAATCTATACCGAATCCTCACAGACATCGTATCTAATTTGTCATATACAGTATGCATTATAAAATACAATTTAGCATCTACCAAGATGTACAACCAAGCTATTTATAAGGATTTGACCAGTTTAGTTGTCTAGTAGTATGAAACATCCCTCATGAAATCAGAACTACTGTATGACTCCCCTACTGTTGGAGCTGAAGGTTCCTGAGTGTTTCAGAGTGAATAAACATCAAACATTCTTAGACTTGGCCTCATTTTGTGCCTTCTGATTGGGGCCAATGACAAGTATTTCAATCCAGCTGCCAAAACAGTCTGGGACAACTTTTTCCAGATGTACTGTAACTTACAGGAGGAGGATGGAGAAAAAAGGGAGAACAGAACAATAAAATTATTTATGTTACAGATGCAGTGGTCAACAGACCAAACAGGACAGTAACTTCCCATTACTGTCATGTGTCCATCGAAGTTGGTAAAGGAGGAAAGAGTTTAAGTTGGACACGGATGATAAAAAGGACAAGAGATGTGTGCATTTTGAGTTGACAATTATTATTTCTTGTGTGATAACTACCCAATTCAGAATCAACACTTACTTTGTCTACATTTGCTGACTTCAATGCCAATGGGCAGACAGGCTCCTTTGCCCCTCCCCAAACAACAAGTAATTCATCTTTTGACACTTCAAACTTTACAGCAACATACAGAAAACTGTATGGTTCATCTCTCCTGACCTCAGCAGGTCTCCTGACCTCAGCTGCTTTTTCACTAGCGTTCAAGAGAGTCCTGGGTGACTATTTCAAATTCTGCCTTTGCTGAAGCAGTTGTTGGCTGTCAGTAGACGAATAACGGTCACAGTGCAATAGTGACATTACCCAGTGATCATGTCCAAACTTATGATGTTAGGATCACACAGCCCAGTCTACGTTAACAGCAAGTGTATTTTCTGGCTGTACCAGTTGTTAGTTTGCACTTCAGAAATTCTGGTCACAGTGGGATATTGATATAACCCAGGCATGAACTTTGATTTCAGAATCACAGAGTTCAGCCTGCACTGAAAACAAGTGTCTTTCCTGCCTGAGACTGTTAAGTTGTCATTTGAGGAATCCTGGTCACAGTGGGATATTGACAAACCCAGGGTCAAACTCGTGATGATAGAATCACAGAGTCCAGCCTGCACTTAAATAAAGAGTCTTTCCTGGCTGAGCTTGTTGTTGGTTGTCGCTTGAGGTTCCTGGTCACAGTGGGATAGTGACATTATCCAGGCTTGAATTTGTGATCTAGAATCTAGATCATAGAGCTCAGCCTGCGCAGAGAGCAAGTGTTTTTCCTGTCTGAGCCAGTTGGGATTCCCCTCACACATAATAGGAATTTGAGATGGTTGCAGTTCTCTGGCTTAAAAAAAGGCTTAGAGTGGAGCTTTTAATCCATATTGAAATCATATCAGGGAAACATCCAAGTGATAGTATTATTCTTATTATTTATTATATGTTGCAGTTTGCGTTTAATTACTGAGCAATCCACTGTATAGAATACACTGTAGTGTAACAAAATGTTCATAAGGACAACAAACTCTAAGTGGGCCTGCAGTTCTGCTCTGCTGCCCCCCCCTTCTCATTCTCAGGCACAGCTAGGGCAAATAAAGGAAGATTGCTGCAATAATATGATTTGTAGTTCTGTACTTATCTATTGCATTCACACAATGGCTAAAAACTATTTGTTAGGGCATATTCTAATTCTGTGTATTTTGGAGTTTGAATACTACTTATAACTACAGTATATGTAGTATAGATACAGTATATACTCTATAGTACTCTAAGCCAGTAGGTAACACTTATACAGTTAAATACATAAATAACTACATTCAAATTATACTTTCTATAAGGAGAATTCCATAAAAATACGATTCTGTCTAAAAGTATGGTTTCTTCTTCTAAATCTCTAATGGAAAAATAGACATACAGTCTGAACCGTTACCAAACATTCATATGTTTTTGATTATTGCGGCTTTACGGTTACGCCTTGGAGACTGTCCAGACAAGCACCTCTGAAGCACATTGCAAAAGAGACACGGGGAATGCAGGAATATCATGGATGATGCAATGATGTGCCTTTATGAACAGTCAGTTTATGCTGTCCATTATAATTACAATGTAAAAAAGTCACAAGCTGAATGGATGTGGTTCATGGAAGAAGTACAATATTTATTTCGTTCCAGAAAAGAGCTTCATAGTTATGGAAATTCTCTTCAATTTGTTGTTATAGTTTATCTCTAGCAACGTCTTAATTTATGCTTAACAACCAAAAACAAAATCTAACAGTAAATGCCAGATAAAAAAGTATAGAATATTTATAACAAAAAAGTATACAGTATAATAATCAAACAAAGGATGAGCAACTCCAGCACATTTCATAAGTACTTTTCTAATAGCAGCTGATTGATGACTACAAAAAGGATAGTTTAATCTTTTATTGTATAAATATTATGATTATTGAGTAATAAAGTTCAGAAAGGCCAATCCCTGATGTAGCCCATAATGCCTCCAACAAACAAGACAAGAAGTACAGAAGATCCCAGAGTATGAATTTACAATGAAGCTACATTTATTTCTCTTTATGTTACCTGAAAACAGAAAGACAAGAAAGAAAAAGAGAAAAAAACAGCCTCAAGAATCTGTACTAAGATTTATATTACAACACATTACAATTACAGATGTTATGGCTTCCCAATAGGTTACACAACGGAAATATCTTAAATCATGAAGCAAAAGATGCATTTTGCATACATTGCTGGAACACAGGAACTCTGTTATTAGTTGTATATCAGCACAATTCAAAACACAGACAGCCACTGCAGAGGAAAATATTCTTCATACGACAATAACAGCTGAAAAAGCTGTTAATGGTTGGAGGCATTCTATTTTAAAATGATTGCTCGAGCTTAACGTAGCATAGACATCTATTTTGAATGTAAGCACTGTTTTTTGTTCACTTTGCAATTAAACAAAATGTTGTTTAAAAGAAGGAAATTATTCATTTAAATGTATGTCAGACATTTAAATGTTAAAGTTAGGGGGCGGTGCAGTGGCTGTGGGTGGAAGGTTGCCGGTTCATATCCTGCGGCTGGCAGAGGAGTCCTACACTCTTGAGCCCCTGAGCAAAGCCCTTAACCTCAACTGCTCCAGGGGTGCCATATAGTAAATGGCTGACCCTGCGCTCTGACTCCAAACATCTCTTCCTGTCTGTGTTCCTCATGGAGAGCAAGTTGGGGTATGTGAAAAGACAAATTCCTAGTACAAGAAATTGTATATGGCCAATAAAATGATCTTATTTTAATTCAATTTTTAAAACTTCATATTCATATCTGCAACTGTTTTAATTCAAGCTACAAACACTGTGGGGCTGATTTAAAGGTATGATTTGAATTTGTTGACTACTGTGCCTCTTTACCCCTACACATACGAAAATCATCAAAGAGGATGAGACTAACCAGCTCTTAGTTTTTGCTCAGTTGCTTGTCTAGGTTTTATTCCCTGTGGAAACAGCACTATGGTTATTATTAGTGCTACGTCACTTTAGGGGATTACAACAAAATGCCACTTTTTTACTAAGTATGTGGGCTGCCGTATCTGACATGGCTGTAGGGTGAAAACAGCAGTGAAAAAGTTTAAATGTATTTGTGAAAACGCCCATGCTTTTTAAAGGAACCATCCAATGATCTTCTAACCACTTAATCGAATACAACCGGAGTCTATTCGGTATAGCAATGGGTGCAAGGCACGATACATCCTGTACAGGATGCCAGTCCACCACCGGGTAGACATACAAACACAAACACAGACCTGCATGCACTCACACCTAGAGTCAGGTTTTGCAGAAGCCAGTTAACCTACCAGTACAGTATGTCTTTAGACTGTGGGAGGAAACCGGAGAACCCAGAGGAGACCCACACAGTCACCTGGAATTGAACCCAGAGCTCCATAAAGGAACCAAATGTACATTTCTTTTTTCGGATTCTAAGACAAAATCCCCTGTACTATCAACATATCATGAGCTATTTAAATAAACCTGCCAATTGAGCAAAGAATAAAAAATATTTATTCTAAAAGAAATGTGTCCCTAAAAGCTTAATTATTTATGTGTATTAATGATCTATATTGGTAACAAATGTTATTATTTTAATTTCCAGTGCTGCCTTTATGCATCCTGTTGTGCTGCTGAGGCCTATTCTGCTTAACACTTGAATCAAAGCAGAGTCAGTTTTACGCTAAGGATAAGGAAACATAACACTTTAAGACTGATATATAAATAAAATTAACATCGAAGAGTGAACTGGTTTGGTATCCACATACTTTCACATTTAAATATATATATTACTATAAAGGGTTTAAAAGCAAAATAAAACATCTACGTTCCGGGTAATTCTCTGTTTCCAATTAATTTGTATGTATGACCTTCTTTTATTGGTTCCCCAAAACAGATCCTCAAGGATTCCTGTGTTTTCTGGTTTTAGTTCCAGTTAAGCTTTGAAGTCACCAGGTCGACTTAATATATGTAATTAATCGTCTTTCCTGTTTAGACTGTTCTTTAATTTGTTTCTGCACTGTTTTGTGGTCTGAGTTTCACAAAACTCCAAAACTTCAAGTGAACAGGAATGATACCAATTCTAAATCGCATTACAAGAGCCAAAAGCAAATTTTAAAAGCTGCCCTAAATAGAAAACTGAAGTCATACAGCTGCGATTAAGGTTCTCAGCTAAAAGCAAAGCCAGAAGATAGGAGTCCCCCAGGACCAGGGTTAGGAGATTCAGCCAAATGTAATAACTTTTAAAAGATTGTTCGTGGCCATTTTTCAAAATACTGTGTTACTTTTAATACCTCATTTCCCAAACTTTAATAGAATAGAATTATCGCTTTCAATGAACACAATTGGATGTGTGCAATTTCTTGATCAATGCTACATAGCAAATTAAGCTATTTTTACTGTAGTACTGAAATTGTTAATAAATATAGACATTGCTTAGGAGGAAATGTTACAAATTATTCTTATCGTCAAAGGGGACTGTATTAATAAAAGGCTTACAGTAATGTAAACTACAAGATATCTGTGCTGTCCTGCTAACTTGAATCAGTGTGTGAGAGAGCATGATGTGAGCCTTGATTTAACTTATTTCTTGTGAATTCTGCTTCATACAAAGTTATTTTGAACAACATTTCAGACATGTTGGGAGAGAGATACAAAATCTCAATGTTCAGATAGTTAAAATAGACCAAATTTCTGATAATTCCAGATTTTATACTTGGGTTCCGAAAAGCTCCTAAAACCCCTTTTTCATGTATTTGCAGATCTGAAGAATGTTCCAGCTAACATCCCACCAGATGTAGCTAGGATTGACCTCTCTGGTAACAGCATCAAACAGTTAAGAGCTATGGAGTTTGTTGCTGTTAAAGATCTCAAAATGCTGAACCTCAGCAGCAATAACCTAGATTATATTGACACAAGTAAGTAAACTTTCAATTGTATTTAATTTACGTCCTGTAATACGCAAATGCTGCATTTTCCAAAAGTTTTCACTCCTATCAATGACAGAATTTAATTAATTATAGTTTATCAGTACCCATCCAGGTACTGAGCAGGCTCACACCTGCTTAACTTCAGTGGATTGCCAGTTGTGAGTTACTAGGTGATTTGGCTGCTGTATTGGGCTTGCATCACACATTACTCTTTAAATTTCACTTTGTCTCCCATCTGACTACAAAGTCTTCTGCCACATATCTGCAATTATCACCTACTTGCCTTGTTACAAACTCTTTTACAGTCATTGCTTCATTTGTGCAAATCATCCACACCCAGAAAATATCTTTGATGTCGACATTTTCTTGTAACCTTTTCCTGGTCTGTATTTTTTAACAACTTTACCCATGACTTTTTTAAAAATGCTCCTTCATCGTGGCTGATTTGGTTTTATCATGATATGAGTTATGGTTTGAAATCCAATGTCTGAGACTACTTACAGAGACAGATGCATTTGCACTGACCTTAATTACACACAGTCAGACACCATTACTAATATGACGTGAACTATCAGAATAATTGTTTGCACCTGAACTGTTTTAAGGCTGTCGTAGAATGAAGTGTTGAATACTTATGCAACTGAGAACTTTCAAATATTTTTGAAAATCGAATTTGTTTAATATTATGAACAGTTTCTTAGCTTCATCACTATAGAGTAGGTCGTGCAGATTCGAAATATATGAAGTTCCGTTTGAAATAATTTTAACTGCATGCTCAGCATGACAGAAAGAATACGTGGAACCTTTACGGGGGAGTGAATACTTTTGCAAAACACTATATGCATGTTATGTGAATAAAACTATTTAATTCAACGCCCTGAAGGACAGATAAACAAAAAAAAAACAGACCTTTCCTTCACTGTGCAGATTGTGAAAGCTGGAACTTCATAGTGTATGCTTTTGAGGGCTTAAAGCTATAACAAATTATAACCACAAACATATACTACTTAAATTTTAACCTTTCCTTTACAATGTTTTGGATTAATGAGAAAATCAAGGATAATTAAACTTATTAAATTCACATCAAAGGTAAATGTCAAGGTCAATGTGAAAAATGTTACCACCGAAAGGGAGTATACAGTCAGGATGCCCAAACACATTAACACATAAGACCAGGATCAAAGAAGTTTAAATGACCAAGAGTTTCTGCAAAGCTGAACACCACTCTAACCCTTTTTTACTAAGGTTGGCCCCAGAATTGTGCTCTAAACCCCCAAAATCTTGAATGACTTTTTCACATATCACATCCCTGCAGACGTACGTACTGTACGAAGTACACTGCAGCAGTGGCTGGATTCAGTTCAAAACACTCCTTCTCATACACGCATTCTGGATCAAGACTTTGACACTGGTAATGGAATGACTCTAAATAATCTCAAGAACAGAGTGATAAACTTAAATAACGAGAACCTACGTAATTAGTATTACAGGCCTCCTTTCCTAAGGAATGTCGATAATTAGAGAGCTCAGAGTTTTCCATCACACAATATTCTGAGATCAAAACACACTTAATTACCACCCCTGTAGAACACACTGCTTCCATTACAGCGTGGTCCCATATGTTTACAAGACAAGAAATTTAAAACCGACTCCAACAGCATGCAACATTAAAACTACCTATTTACCACTTTAAAGGGGAACTGCAATGCTATTTTTACAATGCGGGGTTAGAATGAATCAGAACTGGTAAGTGCATTTCAAACCACAAGTAAAGTAAAATGTACACGGTAACTCGTAAAAACTCCCATTTACCGTACATCACAAAATAAACAAAATTTCCAGGTATGCACAGCTGCGATTCAGAACGAGGCAACAAAACATCCAGTGACGAGCGCGGCCCTGTGTAAACAAGCAAAACTTGCAAATATATTTATTTGAATCCAATAGAAATATTGCTTTAGATTTCAAGACGGTTTCGCTGACAAATACTACTTGTTAACTCTGCATGCAGATCACAATGGAACATTTCTGCGTGAATTGTCTGCAGCACAACCTGTATTTATTTACTCATACATCATATCACATGAGTTATTATAGTGAGCAGGAAGAGCCTCTTCACATTGTCATTTGTGGGAACTCGAATGCGAGTTTGCGACAAAATGGAGACTTACAGTACTTTCACAAAATTCATGATTTTGTGAGTAATTTGACATTTGTAAACTTTTCCTATAAGATTAATAAATGTATTTTGTTATTGAGATTTAATAACCACTCTGAGAAACTGGGACTGCAGTTCCCCTTTAAATTAGAGTACATTGTGTGCACTATAGAACAGGCGACGTACTGTAAATCTCACAGTTCACAAAAGAGCATCAGCTTACCTAACATTTCCATATGTCTGACTTTTTACTCTTTTAAAATACACAGAAACGGTGTATAGGTAAGGTATTCTTCTATGAAGTTGATAATGAAATGTTTCTTTTAAAAAACTCTCTATTCTTGTTCCTAACAGCTGCCTTTTCTGGTCTTCTGTACCTCAGAGAGCTGGACCTCTCTAACAACAGCTTGCAGTATTTTCAATATGGAGTTTTAGAGGACCTATATTTTGTTCAAAAGCTGGTGCTGGGAAATAATCCTTGGAAATGTGATTACAATATTCACTACCTTATATACTGGCTGCAGCATCACTACAGTGTTGAATACAGCGGTCTGATTTGCAGCTCTCCAGTGGAGTTTAAGGGGTGGCTTGTCGAAGACTATGTAAAAACTTACAATGGTGACTGTCCTAAAGACAAACTGCCTGGACAAACTGACAACTTGCAGGAAACCAATGCAGATGCAGACGATGAAGAAGAGACAGATATTCAACCCAGCCCAATAAGAGGCCGTGAGCGAACAATCAAAATTATAAGACTGAGTTAAAAAAAAAGATAAATGCAAACATTGTTTTTTTTAGAATGATCAAAATCAGTCTGTATCAGATGACAACCTGCTTCTTTTTTTAAGAATCTTTTTTTTTCCCACATTTTTATGAGTAGAGTCCATTGCCGGTTTTTCAATGTATAATTTCATACTGCTAAGCATATTAAAAGTGTTTTTTTCTTACTTTGTCCAGCTGTTCTATCAAGTAAATAAAACTGAATCCATTTACTATAACAGATTTAAGAATGATAAATGTGAAGGTTTATAACAGCTTCATGTGATCATTATCTTCTTTGCATGTTGTTGGTCAAAATCAAAGAAAATGCAACCTCCAAACAAACCATAACTATTAATTCAAAATATTTATGATCCATTTTCATTAAATCTTCTCTGATTACATATTTTCAGCATATTTTTTTTGCTTTCTAATTTATAAGAGTTATTACTACAAAACAGCCAGAGTACTTTGCATATTGAGTAAAGAGCAGCACTTTCTATTGCTTTATCTAAATTAGAACATCAGACCCAGTTGCTGTATTTACGGATTTTACTAGTTTGTTTGCACTACATACTTAAACACCCTTGCTCTGGATGTTACTAGCTTAAACAACCTGAATATTGCTAGCTAGAAAATATGATCATGCTCAGAAGCATGATCTTTGGATCATTAACAAAACATTATTCCTTCTTACATTAATAATATAATGTAAGACTTTAATACTGTATATAATTATTAACTAATAATATAATGTATTGACTTTGAGTTATGTAGACCTACAGTACATGATTCAGTAAAATATAAGGATGGCAGTTCTGATGACAAAAACACTATTTGAAGAAAGATTCTAGCTTGGAAGAGGTTTCTGCTTACCCAGCTAAAACCTGCTGTCAAGAAGTTCAGTTTACAGCTTGTGAGTTAAGGGGGGCTAAAGACTTCAGAGAGCCTTAGTTCTACAGCTGTAATAGCATGCCCTGCAGTTCTGTAATCTGCAAGAATCTGTGCTCTTGAGGTAGTACTGTAAGTAAACTCTGATGACAACAAAGTACCATTTGAGGTTTAAATGGGATTTTAACAACAGACAATTCCACACTGATTGGGCACCAAGATTAAAAAAATGACTCACAGAGGAAGGACTTGGTATCTGAATGCACTGAGTAGAAACAGATGTGACATGTCCATTCATTCAATAATTCAAGGCCTAGTGCTGTCACAAAGCATTGCACATGCCTATAGGTATGGTAGGCCATGACCCTCTCATGACTGCCTTCAGTACTTTTATACAACTAATGACATGTCAGACTCAAGCTTGAGGCAGACTTAGAATAAAACGCAGCTACAGTATGGATAGAAAAGGACGTTGCAAACAGACATGAATAGATTCACATGCACAAGTCTATAACTGCAATTACTACATTCACATTCTGGTAGAAAATGGTATTCAGTGTTTACACACATAAACTGAATTTAATTAGCTCAATTAAAAGTATAATTAAAATCTCTTGCAAGTCCAGAAATATCCATCCTATATAACGATCAGAAATATTGTGAGGTTGGTCTTTGCCATAAAGGTTTGTGGAGTCATATCATGCTAAAATCTAAGGAAATCTCTGATGCCCTAAGAAATAAATATTGATGCTCTACAGTCTGGAAAGGGTTGCAAAACCATTCCTAAGGATTTCGGACTCCACCAATCCACCATCAGACAAACAGTCTACAAATGTAGAAACTTCAAGTTCACAGTTACTTTGCCTAGGAGCAATCCCCCTACAGAAATCTCTATAAGAACAAACAGGAAACTTGTCAAAAAAATTACAGAGAACTCCAGAGTACCATCAAAAAAACTGCAAAATGAGTCCCTGCAGTGGCTCTATCATGCTCACCTAATGAGGCACTACATGACTTGGCAACTCAGTACCTACTGTGTCTGACTTATTATCTTCCTAAGAAGAAGAAATTTGTCATTTCACAATGCCCTACTCAAAGTCTGAAACTAAACTCCATCGAAATGTTGTGGCAGGACATTGGGCAAACTGTCCATGCAAGGCAGCCCTCAAATGTCTAAAATAAACAAGTTCTCCAAAAAAGGACAGGACAAAATTACCTCAAAACCGATGTGAGAGACCAATCAATGGTTACAGGAAATGTTTAGTTGCTCAAGGGTATCCCACTAGTTACTGAATTTAAGGGTTTACATTGTCACACATGGATATTGAATGTTTAATCATTTGGGGATAAATAGATGTTGAAAGAGTATTGTGTTTTGTGTCATTTGTTTCATCGGGTTCACTTTTTATATTATTACGACCTAGACTAACATATAATAACATTTTAGGTTTGAAATATGTGAAAAGGTCCACAAACTTTTTCTTGACACTGTATAAATATACTTTCATAATAACCAGTTATGTAGTTCTGGCAGAATGTTTGAAAGCACTCACTGATGCATTGAAAGCTTGGCCACTGAAGGGAGGAACAGCCATGGAAGTTCAGATGAATTACGAAAGGACGGTATTTCTGCAGAAGCCGCACAACTGTGCCGTCTGCAATCCTGTACTTCTCTGAGGAAAAATTAATCTGACAAAAGGAACCTACGGTGAGGACACTGATACAGAAATGTTTAACATTTTAAACAACTAAACAACTGACTATCCATATTAAATTGCTTTTTTAGATATAATTTCTCATCTGTAACAGTAACTATGCTAATGTGGCTCCTTCAGAAAACAAAAAGTTTTTTGGGTAAAAAGTAATGCTGTGTTTAGACAGCCGTAATTTAAGAGCTGAACAAGACTTAGGGAATTCTGAGATATTACAACAGAGGATGAAGAATGGTTCAAGGATTATCTTCATGATGTAAAAGCAATTTCATTTTACCACAGTAAATTATAAATATGCCATAATCCTGGTCTTTTGTTTTTTTTTAATACATCCCAGATTGGTTAATGAAATACTTTCATAACAAAACTTCTCAAAAAGAGTACACAGTATATGGTATCCAACATAGAACCTAAAAAATAATCAGAAATGATAATATTGAACATTATGTAACAAAGTGGTACTCAGCTGTTCATGTTTTAGGAACAGAGGGTTTAATAGAGGGTGAAAATCATACAGACACAAATTAACAAATTCCACATTAGTTGTTTTTTCTCTAAAAAACGTCTTTTTCTACAATTTTGTGAGGAAAACTATATATATCCATAATCTATTTAAATCACAGATAGTGATAGCTATGGCTATACAAGAAGACTGAACAATCCCTAATACCTTACCTGGCTCCAGAGGGAACTGTTCTGGGTAAGCATTTTCCAAGACCGACAGACCTGAGCACATCTTGCTAGGTCTTTAATCCCTAACCAAGTAAAGATCTGTAGGTAATAACAAAAAACTGTTTAAACATGTTTTATTCAAAAACACATTCCATACAACTTCTCTTCAACAATAGCAGACTATAGATCAATTGCATATTACTATTCATTGTTACCGTGCACACACAACACAAAAAAATAAATAAAAAAAAACTCAACTCTTGGCAGAAAGAGGATACCAGAGGATACTTTTATAAATCATTCACAGCCACTCACAACAATAATATCAGTGTTTACATGTTTAAAACTATTGGTTAATTTTACCCTGAGGAAAGTGATTGAGTTCAAACTCGTGTTAAATATTTTTTTAACCACTTTCCATAAATCATCAAGGGCTGTTGTCTTTTTCTTAATAATATACTATACAGTATGTTCTTATATTCAGAAAACAAACACAATGCGTCATCAGTAAACAGAGCCCACTGGTTTAACTTAACACATTTCTTGTTCTTTTATATTGCAACTCCTGGAGAGGTGTCATAAAAGCGAATGTCTGCGAATGAGTAGAAGCCAAGGTTTTTACCCAGCTGTAGGTGGTCTGAAAGATGATAATCAATGGAGCACACTCGAAGAAAGCTACACAGCCAAAATGTTGTGTTTACTTTCTTTTTATTTTCAGCATGGAATAGGCCTACTGTATTACTTGTTCCTTTGCAGCCTACACATGCTGACGCAGCTACCCCCCTGAACTACTTGTTTTAGAGAGTTTACTGTCCTTTATTTAAGGAAATTCTGATTTTCTTTATTGAGGAATCCTCAGGCTAAAGACGTTCTCTCTTGGTTGGCGATGCATTCTTATAAGAGGGACTGAGAATCTCATTCCTTTTGGGGAATCTGGATTTTAGAAGGGTGATTTAGCACTGAGTCAAATTCTGTTAATTAAGAATGCAGGTTTCTCTTGTTAGTCTGTTTAGGTACTGTATTTTAAGTACTGTATTGGATTTTGAGCATCTGAGATGCTTGTTTTGTAATGCAATGTTTAGTGTTGTATGTGTGAAACATGGTGTGTTGTTTGGTTTTGTATCACTGTCTTGTTAATGAAGGTTTGTTGGTCCTAGTTTGCTTCTTATTTAATACACTTTCTTTAAAGTTTTACCAGAGAATAAAGAACTTAAATTCTTCAAATTATACCAACCACAGAGGTTTATATCTTTGACATTTTTAATTATATAAGTATTTAATTTCCTTCTTTATTCTGTGTTTTCTTAAACCTCTATTTGTAGCAATAATTTAACTTGGATTACCTCCGGACAATGAGCCACTTAAATTCATTTTTCTTCTTTCTTACTGAAAATCACTTTAGCTATTTTTAAAGGTGCTATGTAAACTGTATTATTATGTGTTCTCATGCAATTGTTCATCATTTTTAATGACTTTTTTCTTTGACTGAGGTTCTTTTTTCGTAAACTTTCCAGAGACCAAATTGGATCCAATATTTATTCAAGAGAAAGAGATTCTAATTTGAGGCAGGACTGAAAAAAAACTATTGTTACATTTGTCCTGTTTTCCCCAAAGTTGAGATCAAGAATTTTAAACTATTTTTTCACCCTAATCTTAACTGTTTTATAATTAAAATGTATATGAGCAGGTAAAATTTAAGCTTATCTGTTATCTTAAACTGCCTGATAAAGCCACATTGTAAATAAAGCCACATTGTAACCTGAACACTGATTGTATAGTTAAAATACAATGGCTGTAATAAATATGTGCACTTTTTATAGTTTCATTCAATAAATTCTGCTTTCATTTAAAAAAAAAGTATTATATAATAGAACAGCAGTTATACTAAAATAGTTTAATGCATTTGATTTACAAATTACACTTTTTTACATGCAATATACAGTATCATAAGAATATTCAGAAGATACTGTGGTACACACATTAATTATTGCTAACACTTATATAGCGCTTTTCTGGACACTCCACTCAAAGTGCTTTACATGTAATGGGGACTCCCCTCCACCACCATCAATGTACAGCCCCACCTGTACATTGATGATGCGATGGCAGCCATAGTGCGCCAGAACACTCACCACACATCAGCTATCAGTGGGGAGGAGAACAGAGTAATGAAGCCAAATCGTAGATTTGTAGAGATTATTAGGATGCCATGATTGGTAAGGTCCAATGGAAAATTTGGCCAGGATGCCAAATTTACACTCATACTCTTTGTGAGAGATGCCTTGGGATTTTTAATGACCACAGAATCTCATCTCATCTGAAGGATTTACGTCTCATCTGAAGGACAGCGCCTGTTAACAGTAGAGTGTCCCTGGCACTATACGGGGGCATTAGGACCCACATGGACCACAGGGTGAGCACCCCCCGCTGGCCCCACTAATACCTCTTCCAGCAGGAGCCTTAGTTTTCCCAGGAGGTCTCCCATTCAGGTACTGACCAGGCTCACACCTGCTTAGCTTCAGTGGGTTACTAGTTGTGAGTTCCAGGGTGATAAGGCTGCTAGCCATAATGCAAGTATGTTGTCTTTTGAGCAACAATGAGCAAGATTTGGTAAAGTTATTTGAGATGGTTTAAGTTTTGTATGATTTAAATGGTTTGTACTGTATGTATACAGCTTTTGCATGGATTAAATAATGTGACAACTTGTAGGTGGTAGGTTTTTCTCTCTGACATTAAATTTTTACTGGCAGGCTGTACAATATAAACCATGAGGGCTTGAAATGTATTCTTTTATAGTTCAGCTGCAGCTGAAATATAATCAATTGTTTTCAGGCATTTTCATTCACATTTCATGTCAGAAATATTACCCTTATCCTTAGAGAGTTGCTCTATGTACTGTATATTGAAAAGCTACAAAATTGGGATAACAAAAATCTTGCATACCCATTCCTCCATTTTCAAACCACTTTATCCAATACAAGGTTGCAGAGGAGCCAGAGTCTGTCCCACAAGCAACAGGCACAAGGCAGGATACACCAATCCATCACAGAGCACACATAAACACTCACTCACACCAGGGCCAATTTTCCCAGAAGCCTATTACAGAAGGAAACCAGAGCACCTAGAGCAAACCCATGCAAAAACAGGGAGAACATACAAACTCCATACAGATAGTGCCTCAGGAATTCAAACCAGGGTCTCAGCACTGTGAGGCAGGAGTGCTTACCAGTGTGCCACCATTCCACCCAATGCTGTACTTTGGCCCTACAGGAACTGAGTTTGAGTTTTGATGAACAGTTCCACTCAGTGAATAATCAGAGTGATATACTGTAGCTAACTTAAACCAAAAAACCTATAGCTATATATAAGTTTACTATGAAAACGCTACAGCTACAGCAATTAATACTTATTATATACATTAACTACTAATTATGTGCAGTATATTTTAGGATGGAGTCGTGGTAGCTCAGACAGCAAGCTCCTGACTGGAAGGTCCTGGGCTCAATCCCAGGTAGGGGCAAGCGATGTAGCTTGCTCTAATTCCTTCTAGATGAATCCCAGGTCCACTCAGCCTGCTTTCCAAATGAGTACCAGGGGTTAATCCTTCTGGGGGTAATAAGCCGGCCGGAATGTGATGCTGACCACATCACCTCCACCTTCAGTGTCGGATGGTTGAGAAAAATAGTGGCCCTTGCCCCCCATTCCCCATGGGCCTTTCTGGCCTTGAAAAACAACCTACTTACATTGTAGGATTCCCTTCTATTCCCTTATTCTCAGACATTGCTTATATTCATAGAAATTCTTTTTTTATTGAGAAAATTGTTTTGGGTGGATTTCCATGAATATAAATACACTTAAAAGTAAAATGTTTATAGAGTGTTTCTACCAGAACCTTGTGTATGGGAAACATGTTACTATTCCCACAGCAATATTAAATGTTCTCCTCAAAAATACTGAACACTAAAAATACTCCAAACCAATCCAAACCTTAAAATAATTTAAAAAAAACAGCAAGAGACTTTCCCAAATATAGTAACAAAATTCTGACCTGGCATATTTTATAGGATGATGTATAAAAACATCTGCCAGGGCTAGGAAAAATGCCAAAGCACTTGTAACTGGTAAAGACTTAATCACTGCAACAGGACTAAAATGTGCAGCACCCATTGTCCACTTATACAAAAGCTGAGAGGTTAAACTATTTTAATAGCAAGTACTGTATCATTGGTAGACGTTAATCATAATTAGTAAAGCTGCTATTCCAATAAGCAAAACCTAAAATGTAAATTTGATTTTCTTATACACACTGATTCTGTGTAGTACTGTATGTAATGTACATAATAATAGTTAGATGACTGGTGACAAAACAACAGCAAGCACCATGACAAAAACCTTTTTTAGATTTTACAGTGTTAGAATGCAAAAGACATTTGGAGGGGGGTAGAAACCAAAGAAAACTAGGAATTTACATGGTGAGCAAAGACCAAGGAATAACTAAAATAAATAAATCAAACTAATGACCTGGTAATAAAGTGCTTATTCTACATTTTAGAGTAGAAGCAAATAAGATAGAAGCTACTACATTGGGCATTAGCCAGAAATGATGAAGATGAATAACTGGTTCAGCAAATCCATCCCTTCATATTCAAACTATTTTATCCACTACAGGGTCGCTGGGCAGTCAGAGCTTATCCCAGCAAACAAAGTGTACAAGGCAGATACACCCTGGATGGGATGCCAGTCCGTTTGCAGGGCGCACACAGACAAAAACACACACAAAATCACACCAGGGCCAATTTCACAAGAGCCTGTTAGCCCAACAGTATGTCTTTGTACTGTGGGAGTAAATTGGAGCACCCAGTGGAAACCTATGGTGGAAACTGAGACAACGGGCTCAGTACTGCGAGGCAGCAATGATAACCACTGTGTCAATATCCCACTCAGTTCAACAAATGGATTATGAAAATTATAAGGGAAAAGAACACAGTTTTTAAAATCATTAAAAAATCAACAATATCCAGTTAAAGCAAAGGGGTATAATAAATTGTAAACAAGTGTAAATAAGCATATTAGAAAAACAAAAAGTGAAATAAAAAATATTGCAGTTGAGGCTTCAATAAATAAATAAATGTTTTTTTCAGTACTACAACATCAACAACTGTTGTCAAGGAAAAAAATAACAATTCATATATTATCTTGTAATTATGAGGTAGCAAATTACGAGACCTAATTATCAGATAGCAATGATCATTTGAGTGTATGAACTACCTGTCACATGTGCAATGACTGTGCTAGTTTTGAGACAATGTCCAATGCTGCAGAATGGGTGTGGACTTACGTTCCACTGGGGTTTATTGATAATGGAATGTTACAATTTGTACCTACTGCGAACACGATTTTAACCATGAGGACACTCACATGTATCCTTAAACAAGAACAAATGTGCCATGCAATCAGTTCCACTGCTTTCAACTGAAAGTCAGCTCATGATAATGTAAGTATTGTATGACAATTGTTTAATGCATGATGATCATATAAGGTATGTGAGAATGTACTATCTCATAATTTTTAGATACAGTAATTTGCTATCTCAATTATGAGGTAATGTTCTCCCTGCTATCTTATAATTACAAGATAATTTGCTACAGTATCTCTGCTATCTCACAATTACAATATAGTTCTTGAAATATATTTTTTCCTTGATGGTCTTTTGTATGGAATGTCCTTCAGTACAGAAGAACCGTAAAAGAAGTAAAATATATGAAGGAAAATAATGCAAAAGTACTTAACAAGCAAGGGAAATAGCTGATGTACTAAACACATAAATCCCTCAGGTGCTCACTAAGGAGGACGTCAGCTATATGCCTCAGTCAGTGGAAGGACAAAGCTCTGTACAAAACAGTATCAGCACAGAAGTGCTATGGATACCAGAACTAGAAACATAATTGCAGTAAATGTTATTATCTGAATGCTTCAGAGAATATTATGAGTATTGTGATCTTCATACAGTACATGTACTGTAGAAAACTTTACCTTCTGTTTCCTCCAAGTAGATTAAATATTTTGAACTAAGACAATAAATTAGATACTAAACAAATGACTAATGCCCAATTACTGTATATAGATATTGATCACATGATAAATACATATACACAATGAGAATTCCCTTTTTAAGATGCATTTATAAAGCTTTTCGGTAGTATTTAATACTACAGACATTCAAGTCAGTCTACAGTATATGTAAAATGTTTAACATTGAGTGTGTGTTTGAAGATGTGAAAGAGATTTTAACAATTTCATATTAAACTAAACTTATTAGACTACTTCATTTACACTAACAGTTTTATTATAACCAGAAGAAGGACTAACCCAAACAGCTTTTAAAATACTCAATTCTTTATCAGAATTGTTTTTTAATGGGATGGCATCTGGGAATGGGAGGAGAGAGAAACTAAAATACTTTTAGAAAAAGTTAAGAAGTACTGTAAGTGAAAAACAAAGAAGGAGTCATGGGTTTGAATTAAACTTTCAGATGAATAGCATTGTAGTGTTCAATTGTAAAGTAGGTGCAATTTTAATTGCTTAATTCTAACCAGCATTATGAGGTCTGTAGGGTGTCTTTCAACACATATTGTACACAGCAATTTCCTCTCTGAACACAGGAGATTTTGGTTTTGGTAAGGCAGTGTTAAGAAAACCTACAGGATCCAACATCCAAATGCTAACTTTAAGACATTTTTTTTCCCGGTAGTGTTCACCAAAAGTGTCCACTGTTGCAAAAGTTTCGGGTAATTGCAGTGTTGCTTTTAAGGAGAACACTTTCATAACTCTGATCCTGCATTTATAAACCATTTGATTTTTTCTTCTTAGTTTAATAAACATGAAGGAAGAGAGATCTTTTTACAAACCTAGTACCTCTAGTACTGATGCAGAAATGACACAGTGGAGTAGGACACTAGTTAGAATTGCTGCGTCACAGCACCAGGCCCCTTAGTTGAGGTTTTTATGTTTTCTTCACGTTCGGATCATGGGTTTCCAGCGGGTGCTCTGGTTTCCTTCCATGGTCAAAAGAAATACTGGTTAGGTAATTGACTTCTGGGATAAGTGGCCTGGTGTGAATGTGTACTGTACATGTTAGTGACTTTGTGTGCCCTGTGATGGACTGACAGCTGTCCAGACTGTACCCTGCCTGGCGTCTGTTTCTTGCCAGGGAAATTCTCTAGTTTCCCTGTGACACCGAATTGGATGAAGGGGTTAGAAAATGGCTAGATGCATGGATTACAGATGTAATAATGGTTATATATATATATTCATGTCTTTCCCGCTCCAACTTCCATTAAATGAACACCAAAAATGTACATTCTTTGCCAGTAAAAATATTATGTGTCCAAGTCTTTAATTTTGCAAATGGAAAACATGTTTCAGATGTGAGAGCATGTTTCCTTTCTTTGATTGGTCATTTGCTGTGTTTCAAAATGATATTTCCAATGAATGTTATGACCCAGCATAACATATGAGAAAAATAGCACTTGGTCTGGAGGGCATCTTCATTTTTCATTTTTGTACAAAGTTCTCAAGTATTGTTGAAGTTACACATATTAAAACTGATTTCTATAATATAAATAGATATGGTAAATGTTTACATATTACAGGTCTATCTATTATTTGTGTGGCAGACAAAAACTAAAGTATGGAAAAGTCTACCAGGATAAAATATTTTTTGGCTACACTACAGCAGACATTGAACATAAACCCTTATAGTTCTTTGCCAAATAATTTTATTTGCAGAACATTTTTCTCACGGATGTTTTTAAGAGTTTAGACTTATCAATATAATACTTAATATCTCAATCTATTTGTCATCACCAATCAATTTAATATGATTTGATTGTTTTCCACAAATTCCCATTCTAGAAGACTTTTCAAAATATTTCATTAATGTAAACATGACTCTGCCATTTTAGAGGTGAAACACCTGCCCTTCCTGAAAGAATGGACCGTGTCATTGAAAGTGATGTGACCCTGGTGCATACGCTCCCAATCTAACTGTACTGACTTTTTAGATATACTGTATATATATGTGAAATTAAGAAAACAGAAAAAGCAAACACTATGTCAATCTGTACACATAACAATATGTGAAGAAGAAGATGGACAGTAGTAATGATAACAGCATTTTTTGCATTCTTTCTTTAATGCTTACTGGTCCTCTTAATGTGTTTTATTACTTAATGTTTTCTTTACTGAGCATATTTTTTCTAAAAAGCTTGTGAGACTTGTTGCGTGAGAGCTACAGGTCGGGCTCTATGACATGGTTTGATCTTTCAAGAAGTCAGTTTCACCTCTGAAATGACGGACAAATGTTTTAAAACTGTCCTTTAGAATGCATATTTTTAGCCATCATATAATCATATCAAGAAAAAACAATATTGAGAAATTTAATATTATATTATTTTGGTTGCATATACAAAGAATTATGCTTTGATAGAATTACTAAAATTGTTTTAATAAAGGTTCGGTCATTATGTGATATACAAAGAGAACGTCTTCAATGTTCACCTATAGATTTTACATGTGATATAGACATTTTCTATTTTCAGACCTGCCATTAAAGTAACTCCTAGTATGATAATTCACAGAAAACCTTATTTTTGACAGGCATTTGTGTGTTTTATTTCCCTGGAATGTGGTTGTGGATTATTAAAATCCTTGATAGAAGCGCAAGGAATAACAAACACAGATCTGGAAAGAGATTCTGGGTCTTTTGTTTGCCAACTTGTAAACACACACAAAGCACCTTTTCATTTGTATGTGTAAAAAGTAGGCACAGCTCCCACTTCACAATGTGCAAACTAAATAAAGTCTATTTACTCAAGTCATTCTATTTTCATGACGTCAAAATGGAATCAGTCAGAATGTTGTTACTACGTTAAGATGCTGTGCATTAGAAAGAACAATACCTTCAGTGCTGCCCGCCTCGGTAACTGGGACAGCTCATCTCTGCTCTCTCCTGGAGGGGCAATAGTGTGATCGAACTCTGGGTCAAGCTGTCCTCTCTCCAGACGCTTCGCACAAAGAATCACAGGCAGAGGCAGAACATACAGCAGACACGAAGACAAGCAACACTTCAGCCTTTTCACTTTGTAAGACTAAAGATCATTTTACACCATCTAGTTTCCTTTTATTCATTTCACACTTGCACATCCTGTTTTTTTCATGTATAGACAAGAACATAAATCTACTGTAAAGCAATATAACAGGTGATGTAAGTTATTTTTTTTTAATAAAAATGTTTTATTTAAAATTATTTTTATATAACCTTTATCCAATTATGTGTTTAAAATATGTTAAAACAATTACATTAACCAGATGAACAAGTTTAAATCAGACACCATATTAGTCATGCAGATAATATGCGAGACCGTTATACTGCCATGGTTGCACATACTTACTGTAAGTGTTAAGGGTCTCTTGTACTGTTCAGGTGAACTTGGATTAATTTGGTTAGGTATAGGTGTCAGCCCTTTTGTTTAAAGATTACTTATACATGCTAATGCAGCAGCTTAGCTAGAGCTTCCCTTTCTTTTCTCAAAAGTCCTCCAGAGCCAGTGTGCCGAGACCTCAGGATACTGAGATGCTGGTTTGCTAGTTTAAAGGAGGCGATATTGGTTGGGGAGAACAGAATGTACTTGCTGTGTAGCCCTTCTTTTACTGTAGTAACAAAATAAGATCTACACAGACAATTACATGTGTAATTGTACTGTACCACATATCTCCATGCTCTAAAGACAATGTAAGTTCATGGAACACTGTATTACCAGCCGATAAATCACAATACATCACAAGTGAGTTAAAAAAAGGCATTGTTTAAAATTTGGAAGTATTCCGTTATGGTGAACAATGTTTGACTGTTTAGGCACAGACTGATGGAAGTTCATTTTGGTTTCTTTATAAACAGATTCAGGGTTACTGGAAAGATGCCATAATGGAAGCTAACACTGTATACGTGCATATGCATATATACTGTACATAAGAATTTCATGCAGTAGTAATCTAAAATAGGAAAAGAAAATAATACATTCATATTACATTGATTAAATAAACCCAATACCAAGCCTTCTTTACCATGGCTGCAATATACATTTTTAAAGATTCATGTTAAGGCAGGTGCAAATGTTCGCTGAAAAGGTATATTATATTAAGAAATTCACAAAAGAAAACTATATTATAAACATTGAGAAACAGTTGGGTAAATAAGACATTAAAGATTTTAATAATTGTTTTTTTAAAGTATTCTCAGTTCACAGAATTACCTCAAAGTATTCTTTTGTTTTCTTGGAGTCCTGCACCACATATCTCCATGCTCTAAAGACACGCTTGCAGTACACTAAATCCCACACTCCCTGAATTTTCTTCATTGCATCTAAATAAACAAACCAAACAAACATGTTGTTTCAAAGCCAAAAAATACTGAACAATAAATAAGTAAATAAAAGTTTGATTTTTTTACTGTTTTATAAACCTAGAACTAGCCTTTATATTTAAGAAGTATAACGGGAGTAAATAGTCAATGCAAAGCAGCACTTATTCCCAGCAGTCATCTACTCATCTATTCTCAATGACCACAAATCGTCACAAGACTTAAACATATGCAGGAGAATTTTCAAGGCTATTTGTGCAATGGCAAGATGAACTCAAATGTATCCCTAACAGAATATTATTTCTTCGATTCTTATTTAAAAATTCATATTCGAAATTACCTTTGTAATACTTTAATTTACCCTTTGTTACTTGCAATTGCAAAGATACAGCCAGGAGGTTTGATTCTGGCACAAAAAAAGCTTTGAAAAACTACCTGAAGATGTCATTTTTAAAAAAACAACTACTGTATTTGTTTCTTTCAAATGATGTTACAAGCAAAATAAATAAAACTTATTTAGAATTAGGTCACTGAAGTGGCCCAAAACACATTTTTCTAATCGAAACAAAACAAGTTAAATCTAACACTTGTTATACTTTTTCAACCAGATTTAAAAATTTATAAATTTGCATTACAGTATAATCATATTTCTTATGTTTGCATTTTTTTATTTGCTTGAATCTTTAAAACTGAAAACAGAAGGCAATATATTGAAAGTGACCTAATAAATAATGTACTACAGAAGAAATGCTATCCATTTGAACTACTGAGGTACCCTCAGGAAGCCATTGTCAAATGTCATGAAAGCAAGCTTTAATCCTTTTGTCCACTATTACAATCCTGCTAGCATCTTCACTGAAAAGCTCTCCAACTTCAAACACGTACTGTACTGTAGGCCTACAAATCTAATATGGATAAATGGTTTTAGATACCCATTTTCAGATGTTATTCATCTATCCATCCATCTTTTTTCAAAAAACTTGGTTGATACAAAAAGCAAAAAAAAAAGGCCAGAAGTAAAAGCTGTTTTTTCAGCAACAGTTTCATCTCATTTCTTTCCTCATAATTCAACAAGTCCTGTCTTATTCTTGGAACAAATACAAATGTTGTTTTGCAGTTAAAAAAGAATGTTGTTTTTCATGGGAAGATTTATTGTGTGCATTATGTGACATTGTAATGTCTTACTGCAGATTTTAAAATTCCTATGTGTGAAAAGCATCAAGGGGGCAGTAAAAGTAGCATTATACTAAGGTCTATTCAGAACAATTGATATAAAGTTTCCACATTCATCCAATTGTGAGTAACATGATCTGCTTTAAAAAATATCTAAAAAATAATGAGAAAAAAAATCAAACTGCACAAATAGTTTTGATTTCATTTCAAGAGATAAAACTTGTGAAATAAGAAATGTTTAATAATCCCTATTTGATTTGTACTGTTAAATAATCACTTTTAGTCTGGACCAGATTATTTTGAGACAGTGGAAAATGGAGAATTCATATACTTTAAGCCCTTCTCCTATGTTACCCAAGAGAAACTCTTAAGTATCTTCTTTGGTAATGTGATAGTTTATAGCTATTACCTACATTTCCCACTCAAAACCTCAATTTAAATATTCTGCTCCATATATAAGTGTGAACATCAAAATCATCTCAGTTCAAGAAGGAACTACCTAAGAACCTAAAATCTCTTTTTCTATTTAAACAAACCCTTTGGATACTGTAAAATAATATATAGATCAGTGCCTCCTCACCTTGATATTTATCTGTTTTCTGGTTTTAATGACAACAGTGTCCATTTTTGTTTCAGTGTAATTTGCTAGTTACTGTAGGTATTGGCTTGTTTTAGGTTGGATAAGGTTAATAATTTCATGGTCAGTTTAAAATATAAGATAAATTTCTATTTTCACATCACATTAGATGACATTACTTTTGTAATGTCTTTAGAATGTCTCCTATTATTATCTGGCATTGCTACAAGTAAGAGACCCAGTCTATAGTCTTATTACTATACAAAGCATCTGCATTTCTGTTCCAAAGCAACCACCAAATATTCAGCAATGAATGATTCAACAGGCTTGTACTTTTATTTTCATTTTCTTCACTTTACTTCACTAGAGCCATCTAGTGAATAATGGCTCAGTAATTACACACTCATTAACAATGCTTGATAAACTTACAAAGAATAGTCTTTCCACTCAGGTTTGGAGTTACTGTGTAAAAGAATGTATTCATTGTGATTACTGTTACTACATCTTGTATTTACAAGATATTTAAATTTTGCACACCTCAAAATATGCTTTAAAGAGATGAAAGACAAAAATAAGTACTGGAGACAAAAGCATATGTTGAGCATCAATCTCTTAATAAAGAAATGTCTATTTGTGAAAACAGAAGTACCCACCAGCTTGTCTCTTTTTCTGAAACTGCAGCCATTCGATCCATTTATGTAGAGTCAGTTTTAACCTTGTCTGCACATAATGATCCTCTGCAATGTTCATCTTTTGGATCTGTTCTGAAGCCTGTGCCTGTTTTCTGAAAATGAACTTTATCCAAGCGCTGTTTGTGGAAGACCAATAATTAATTCATTAGGGTTGTGGAGAGGTGCTTCACAAAAGCAGCCGGAAGACATAAAAAGTACATTGACACCATGCATACTGCACCTGTGGTTCTAGAATGGTGCCAAAAATAAGGGAAGTGCTAGACTGAATCAAAATTCACTGAGTATACCTTGTTTGCAGTATTAATTAATTCTGTGTTACACACTCAATGTACACTAAAATGGACTGATGATTAAAGTAATTCTGTTTATGGTTTTATAGTCCAGGTTTCCAAATGAGTGCAGAAAAGCACACATGCATTTTTACTACATGATCGTTAGATTTTATCAGATTAAAACAATGATGCCATGAATTAGGAATTCAAACACATGGTCCAATGTATTGACCAGATGATTTTAACTAGTTTCATGAATGCACCTGACATTGTAAAAACGTTTTACAAGAAGGAATCATGCAGATGATTTATTCTAAATAGCATGACCAATGCACTTAAAGTCAATACATTTTCATGACCGTCCTCATCCTGGCAAACTGCTACTCAGACCTGATCAGTCTCTGGAGAGACCTTTCTGGAATGCTGTGTGAGAAAACTACGGCAAGACACTGATATGTTTTTATTGTTTTCCAGAAGTCTTGTCGTTTTAATCCTAGAACAGTGTGGTGCCAGTTCCCGTGACAATTCCCGATTGGCTCGCAATAACAGAAATATCTGTTGCTCAAATGCCTAATCAATGTATCGCTGCACAGGAATGATGAAATTGTTTCAGATCAATATTTCATATTAAAATCTTATGATACTTTGATCAGCATTTTTATTCACATTGTTTGAAATATGTAATAAATCAATTAGATCTGACAGCCTTTATTGCTCAATTGTATTAATGGTGCCATAATTTTGGAAGTGACTATTTATTGAGATACATTTAAAAAGGCAACAAGGACCTTAAGAATCATCAGCAAATGTTTTTTAATGCCTCTCAATACATTGTATACGGTATATATATCTCACATACCGTGCTGATTTGAAGTATGTGAACCCTTCATCTTTCATATGTCTTAAATAAATAATCTTTATGTTAAATTTGTTTATTGTTTTTTAGGGAAAAGAAAGAATATTACATGGTACCATATATAATAATGAACAAATGTGAACAATCATCATGACATGAAAGACTTGGTACCTAAACACCCTGTGCAAATCCAACAATAATATAAAATATTTAAGAACATAAGAAATAATATATAATCTTTAAGAACAAATAATCTTTTACCTGAACTGCAATACTTAATTCAGATAACCTAAATAACAGACACACATTCAAAAATATGCATATTGTTTCATTATTTATTAAATTAAAATGTTTAACAGAAACTCAATGATCCTTGTGTGTAAAAGTAAGTGAATCCCTTATTTAATAAGGGGGTGACACATTCTTTAGTAGCTATAACAACAACCAAAGGTTTCTTATATTTATTAATAAATCTCTCACATCTGCTTTGAGTAATTTTTGCATACTTTTTCTTACAAAACTCCTTCAACTGCTCCAGAGTTTTTGGCTGTCTTGCATGAACAGGCCACTTCAGGTCTTGCCACAACGTTTCTATTGGATTGAGATCTGGACTTGCACTTATTCTTATTTACCTATTTCTTTTTCTACTGCATGCATCAATTACTCTAAACAATACAGAGAATTTGTGGATATAAACCCTTTCTTTCAGAAAAGTAAGGACAAGTTCTGATTTAATGGCAAAAACATAACATTTAAAGAACTACAAAATGGGTTCACAGACTTTCAAGCAGCACTGTAGATGTAATTAACATGATAATTGTGAATTAAATAAAATACGTAACTCCTGATTTTCATTTAACTCAATTTAAGATTCAGAGATACTTACTTAAAACACATTCTCATTAAACTCTTTCGGTAGTGTGTGTAGGCCTTCTCGAACAGATGGGATAGAAACTAAGAAAAAAAAATGTTTTAGGAAATTGCATGTCCTCTGCTGAGAACATATTTACATTAAACAGTTGTCACTGTAAGATATTTAAAGGCTTTACTTACAGAATGTATCAAATAATTAAAGCCAAACCTAACACCATACTGTAAAAGTTGCAAATAAAAGTGTTTTAGAAAATGGAGGACTTACCATATTATTTTCTGAGAATCCAAAGAGGCCCTGAAGATAACTTCCTGCTACTTCCGTAACTGCAGCTTTAGGTCCAGCTTGAACACATGTGTACCCCCTGCAGTTTGAAAGCATCTGGGATTATTTACATCAAAATTTATTTTAGCACTACATCCTTGGTGTGAATTGAAATTATACTTACAGTGTAATTCCGTTGAACCCCAAATGATGGTTAACAATACACTGATGTATTTACGTGTTAAATTACATGTACACAAAAAAGCACATGAACATGTTTAGATTCATATAGCATTAGAACAACAAAAACTCACTGAGACAAATGTCAAAACATTGTATTTCACGTCTTCTGATTCAATAGATAAATGTGACCATCATTATCATTATAAAAACTAAGGTCTCATTCAGCCATGGGACAAAATCTACAAACCAACCCTAGCCTTAATCTTCACCCTAGCTCTTATGTTAACCTCAACCTACTGTATCCCTAAACCTAGCCTTATAACTTGTCAAAATCTTCACAGAATACAACGTTCACATACTGTACATTAAGGTTAAACCTAACCATTGACTTATTCCTAAACCTAGCCTTAACCATACAGTATATGAAGCCATTACCCTGAATTTACACCAGCTTCAACCATAATGTTTGCCTTCAACCTAACTTATGTCTTACCTGACTCTAAACATCACCTGTTATTAACATGAATCCTATTAATATTTTTTAACTACCAGCCTAAACCTTGTTAATAGTTAGGTTGAATGTTATTCCATATTATTTTCATTTTCAGTTTCAAATATACAGTGAAATCAATAAGAATGAAAACATACACAAGAAGATAAAAATCTTGAATGCAACAATGGTGCTGTTAATTATTTTCTAATATTGAAAGTTTCTTGATAATCTCTACAATCTTAAAAATAATTTGAACTAATTACGGACCTGGAATTAAAGCACTTTTGCTATAAGGTTTATGTGACCTTTTTTGGTCTGAAGTTTACACATTTCATATTTGTTGAAAACAACTCATTACCTTAAAATGTAGAGTAAATCAAAACCAAATATTTCACTGCTCCTTAGATGTACTAGTCCATATTTTCATCAGCATCCATTAAGAATGAGTTAGCATTTATTCCTTAACTGTGAATTGTTAAGATTGATGAGGTTAAAATTACCTTTCCTGTAATCTGGAAAAATCAGGAAAAACATCTTTATAGTTCAAACACAATAGTTGTATTCAATTCTACCTCTTAACAAAACTTAAAAGACTTTTTAGATTTAATGTACATAGCAAATGTTTCCAAAGGATGTTAGAATTTTCATATGGTGTCCATTTAAATTTCCTCTACTAACAGCTACCATGTCACAGAGAAAATACTTCCTTTACCATCCCTTTATTTTTTTTCCTGTAGTATCATCCAAGACAATTCATAGTACATAACAATCAACAGCACTGCCAACGCCAACTCAAAGTCTCTGCAGACACTGCTTATATAGACTTATGGAAATTGATTCGCTCATCTATGACTATGAGCAAATACAAAAGGCTGTTTTCTGTTTCTTTCCCCTGAACTTACAGTGGTGAGGGATAGCGGAAAATAAACAAATGGTCAGGATTAAATTCCATATAAAAAAACTGAAAGGGTAAGCTGTCTTCAAAATAGTGGTCTAAAGATGCAACTGTGGCTCTGGATTAGAGAGGTAATGCCCAAGAAGTGTTTGCCTTTACAATTGCCTGAAGCTTTGGTTTATAAGTGAGCAATAGAACAAATTTCTCCAGAGGACTACAGCTTCTTTTAAGCTATAACTATTACAGTGAAAAATCTTCACCAATTCAGATCATGCTTAAAACATTACAGATTGGATTCTATACTGGATGGTTTGCCATTCTGCTAAGTGCTCTTTATACTTCTTAGAGAAATATGAGAAGGGTGTTCTGTTCACTGATGTTCCTTAGTCCTAAGACGCTAATTAATTCCAGAAACCCACCAAGTTCCTTTTCATAAGATTCAGACAATTTAAGAATAACAAAGAGGCCTTAGTAACATGTTCCATATGTCAATTTCACTGTAACACAAGGTGCCATACAAGATAATGGATCTTCAGTCTGTCACCATAATACATTAGGTAACTGTTCTGCTCCTCCTTTCCTTATTAAGGTTTAAGTAATGATCAGAGTTGACTTTATGTGCTCCAATCGACATTTTATAAACAGTCTAATCTTCTATAATCCATCTTCCTTTAATCCTAAAGACATTCAGTTCTTTAAGCCTCTACTTTAAAGTTCAAACCTTCTGTCCTGGAGGGTTTAAGTTTTTTTCTAAGTAATAATGCAGTTCTTTAACTCAATGTTATACTACAGTACTTGATACTCCTCAGCACGGGCATGATACCTAGGGTCAGGGGGCCCAGTGAGGGATGTACACATACAGTATTCCTCTGAAATACACTTGTCAAAGCCATTAGCCTTTTTTTCTGCTGCACGTCCCACAGTATCTATGGGAGAGGTAACTTGTATTTAAGGAGGCTTGAATGCGGCTTTCATTGACAACACTGCCAGCTCACAGGCATGCCAAGCAGAACATACTGTATCATGGCTGACTAAACACAATCCAAACTTAGCAACCCTTGGCTAACTGTGTGGTTATGGAAAGACATACCCCAGAAAACAGCTGGTGATGTCTGGACTATGAGCTCAACGTGCACTTGAAACACTTGTGAGTCTCAACACATCATGCTTTTATTATCATTTCATGCATGTCTGTGTTGGTAGTAGTGAAGTCAATAGGCTGACAGCCTACAGATATACTGAATCTTATACTGTTTAACTATCCCAGATGCTATGTTGTATGCACTATGCAGAGAACACAAAAATAGTAAATTATATTCTTCTGAGAAGTATAGTATAAAAGCTATAGTTGGCATTTGTTCATATTAAAATCATAAAAAAGCTGGATTCTTTTAATTTCAAATGTTATTTAATATACATTTCTATGTTAAGAGGGAAAAAAACAAGAACTACATAGTATAGTCTTAGTTCTTTCTCCATAAAGAGCAAATCTAAATATTAGGATGTAAATAATTTTGCAAAAATTGTTACATTATAAACAATATTACTAAAAATTGTAAATTAGCACATAAGACAACCATATTATTGTGTTATCCACTAAATATGTACTATGTTTTGCCTTCTAAAAGAGTTGTAATGTTTTAATATCAGCATTATTATGCGCATTGCGTAATAACACCAATTTCATTTTGCTTTTAAGCTGATATGGCATCAGTTTTGTCTTCTCTTTTATACCCCACCCAGACTCACATATGCTTTATCATCCATCCACTTTCCAAGCTCTTTTT